GTGCAGCATTCGCTTGTTCAGCTCTTGTGCGCATTCGTCCTCGCTGCTGCGCTTGGATGCCGACATGACAACAGAATGATCCGCACCAGGTGGGTCACGGCGTTTATGTGTGCGGTGGGACGGAGTCGCCAAAAATAAATTAATTCATTACAATTTTGACTTCCGTAGAAAGCCGTGCTGATCGGAAGCAGCTCTATAAACATTACCTTTTAAACTGAAAAATGTAATGTTCACTGCTAGATTTTTATAGATATGTGGAAAACTGGTCGGCATTTCTTAACCATTTTAATGCCAATAAAACTTTAACTACCCGAATTTTGCTTAAAAGTCATAGGTTGCACATATTACTCGAAGTGTAGCAACTGCGTATGTTTCTAAATCACATTCATTATTTTCAAATGATACACATCGAATACATAACTATGGCAATGCACATTGACTGGAGGGCGTGAGCTATGACTATTGAAAACATTGTGCTAAAAATAGCCATTTATTTGTCAACGAAATTGGTGTATGTGCATTTCATAATGAATAGTTCCTTTGTTGGTGCATCCTAAAAGGCACACATGTGGTTTGTTGAAATAACAAAAGGAATGATGAATTTGCCGAGACTTGTTCACTGAACCAAATACAGCGGGACATTGCACACACTGAGGCCCTGAAAAATATATCACCAACAGAGCAACTGTGTGCGATAAAATATCTCCTTCAACAACTAATGCATAGTAAAAGGCCAATTGTTATTGTGTGTGTGTTTCGTAAATAGGTATGCTGTCCACTAGCCAACCTCTTTCTAATCTTTATATTAATAATGCAAAGGTATGCAAATGTTCAGTAAATACATTGTCAACAATAAAAAAAAACTGCATGGACATTTCTCTTGCGGTGAAAATTCGCATTCCTGTTACATATATATTTACATGAACACACCTGTGGTCACTCCACTCTTGGATGAGGGCCTCTCCAATGCCTGTGAGTGTCGTCAGGGCTATTTGACTATAGTTCACCACGTTGGGTCGTGCAAGTTGAAGACAGGGAGCCAAGCTGTGGAAGCACTGAAGTTGAGTGCAACAATACCTTTTGATACATAGTCCTTGTCCTCTGTTGCCCACGACAAAGTAACACAGCAGCCCATAGCACCTGTTTGTGTCCGGCACTCACCAATCCAAATGCTCAACTTTGCTTAGCTTCCGAGATCAGACGAGATCGGACGCATTTATTGGATGAGATCGAAGGCACATAATATAAGCAGCCCATATATACACTGTATAGGACAGTGATTTTATGGTCACCCACTGTTGTTCATTATACCAACTCTTGAGGTTTGCCGAGCCAAATCAATCCTGTCTGGGCTTTCAATTCTGAGACTTGCAAGCACGAATCTGCTGCTCCTCTAGAGCCTTTGCAGCGATTCAATGTACACAATAGAGTATACATTATTATAAAGTCATTGCAAGATTACTTTTGCTGTTTGACTCTTTTTACATATATATAAGTTATTTCTGCTTGGAGTAAAGTACACATTTTCTGGAGAACGTTAATCTCTTCACCTCACCAAGTGCCTATTGGAATCTTATCTGTGTATGCTCAATAAATGTCAATATAGCTGTCCATATTTGCTGCCACGCAATTGACAGAAAAGGGCAAGCCTCTCACCAGTGTGGATTTATGTGGAAAAAAGGCTACATTTGACTAAATACATAAGCACACAAAATGAGACATTGGAAGGAGACAAAGTGTCTGCTTGTTTATTTAGTTAATTATATTCTTCACAACGCTGCTAATACTGATTTTGTGTAATATATGTAAATTGCACCATTTGTGTGACTCACAGTAACCAACACTTGGCTATGTGAACATCTCAATTTAAAACTTAGTATTGCTTCCATTCCTCCCGTGGCACACAATGTTCACATATCAACTTTAATTAGTAAAGCAGCAATGGCATAGCCTGTGCTCCACGCAATGGCATTGTTGAATTTCAAAGGATGCTTACTGAACAATTACTCAATACCAACACGTGCTGTTCTCTCGCCTCACAAATACTGATTATGCATCTATGATTTTGTTTACTATTCTATTTTATGGTAGTAGGGTTTCTGGCAGTGACTAAGACTGAGAAGGTACTTAAGCTTACAATCTGTGCCCCAGTGGGCGTTCTTTGCCAAGCCAGCATGTTAGCTGCGTGTGATAGACCATTTCACTTTACCCTGTGCAGCGATGGGTTTTCAGAGGTGAAAAGGGTCTGAGAAAAGCAAATTTGATGTAAACCTTCATCATCTATCATCCATGTGCCAAATGTGTTAGATTTTATTAAAATAACACAAGATGACAAAAATGCATCCGAATGTTCTCCATTATATTGCACTTTCCCCATACATGGATGGGAGAACATTATACTGTACGTTAATCAGGATATACAATGTGAAAGTTATGAAAAGTTAATACATAAATTATATGCTGAATAACTTTTCAGAAAATATTACTGGGTATATGTGTTTATGTGTACGTACATCTGCACGTTTAGCAAATTTCCCTGCTTATGGTTGCTGCAATTTCCAAAATAATATTTGTCTACGGCAATATCGAAAATAAAATTTGTCTATCCACAATTGCATTGATGCATAATATTCACGTTATCGCAATGTTGCTCAATGTACTGCGAGGCAAGATTACCATACATAATACGCATGTCATTGGTACGTGTAAATACTCAACTCATATCATGAAAAAGGTACATGTTAAAACACAATCATTAAACACAAGATTTTGGCACCAGTGACTTTTTAGATATACTGTAAGAATAAGGAATTGTAGTTATTCAGTATATCCAAGCATTTTAAATCGCTAAAGGCACTGCTTTTTTAAGTTCTTAGCTCCATTAACGTATTCACACCATAACATGCAATGCAATTATCATATAGTAATGGTGTGTATCTAATATAAAGCTATTTGTCTCAATGCTAACAACGTGATTTGTCAATACTACTCGTGCACTGAAAGCCAAATGCAGTCATTAGGATCATGTACAGCCCTTTGCCAATGCCCTGCTGAATGAAGGCCTCCCCACCACCTTGTCAGTCATGGAGATTGCTTGACCTTGCTTCACCATGCCAATTGATCAGTTCAGGTTTTCAATTATATCTTATGTTAGCTATGGCCAGGGATTAAACTTAGGAAACAGGGGTTCATAGTATAGCCCCTGCTCTTCCCCAGAGTATCACAAAATACATTAATGGAGATAGACATACATTATATTATATTCTCGGTAAACTGACTTTCAGGCAACACTGTGTGTTGGTTCTCGTAGACATCAGTTTTCAAGTGTCATCTCTACTGTCTCTATGTGTCCATGATAGACAATGTACTGATACATATGGACTCAAAGTAGGGATGTTATTTCCATGTGAAAATTACTGACTTTTACGAGCAGCAGTTTTATTAACTGTACAATGTTGATCTTGTGGAGACTAATCCTGAAAATATCCAATAAAACTTTAATCTTGTAAATTAAAAGCATGTATTATGATGCAATAGCAGCTGTACTAGTTAAAGAGCCTTGCAGCACAGAGCCTGAGAAAGTTAATGGAGCTCATCCTTTTTCTATTTATCTTGTAAGTTCCTAACATACACGGTTCATTAATCAAGCAGTACATTGGAGAGAAGTTTATTTGCCTTGTTTTGTCGTTATTAATATATACACCTGACATGGATATTTATGAAAGCAATTTCAATGTATTCCAATTTTCAGCACCAATAAAAAAAGATTTAATTAATAATTTTAGCCACTCAATTCATTTATTCAGAGATGTTTGGTGTTTTATGACATTAAATCAATTTCTCAAATTGCAATGTTGTGTAAAACAATTATATTGCAATAAATGCCACTTAAAAAAGAATTGTATCAACACTTGCTTTATGGGCAGTTCAATCAGAGTAAGGAATACTTTTCATAAACAATTGTAACGTATGTGCATCACTTTATTAAAGTCAGTTCGACCACTGATGGTTTGACAAAGTATCCATCCTAAATTGATATTTGATCTACATGTATTCAGCTTTGAGGAAGTCAAAGACATTGGAGTCCCATTTCACACTCGATATAATATTGCTGTCAAGAGAGCAGGAAATAGAATGATTGAAACACTGGAAGCCAAGCTGCTGTGTCTTGTTCAAGGACTGTTCTCTGTCAGGATACGTCACACTGCTGTCAACGAAGGGAGATCAGATTCCAGTGTTCCCATTATTAAACCTACCTCTGTAACTGTTGGCGATATAATTGACACTCAAAGAATGATAAACTGTGCTGCTTATACTACTTGTTTTCTTATATCAATTTGTATGTGGATATTGGGCCTCAAAAAGAGTGTTCACATTTTAACAACCCCCAGTCGCACAATTTGAAACATTTTTTTTAAATCTAATAAAATGTTGAATGTACAGAAACAAATCTCCTTGCTGCATGACCTATGAACAGTGCTTGATTATTAGAATGTAATATCTTTTGAGAATTATGGGTGGTTGAAGAATTATTTTTCCAAATTATATGCAACGGCATATTTGCTCACTGCATTTGACAATTATTTACTTCATAAGCAGTGATTTTAGCAATGGATTTATTTTGCAAACATTCAATGGGTTAATATATTGCTGAAGAGTTCTCTATAGAAATTGTATTTTCTTCACTGAGGAGTGAAAACTTATTTCTTTTGTAAAAATCTGTGTACTTTCAAACGTAACTTATTTTTGGCTAATGAAAACTGCGGATAATCACCTCCATGGCTGCGTCAAAACTTTTCAAATGTGTGTTTGGTGTGCACACACAGACAACATTATGGACGTCATGTTACTCCTGCTGGCATGTGCAGTGTTTTATTAAAAAATTGCGCACCCCTCGCGCGAGTGTGCATCGCAAATGATGAATAAGTACTGAGTGCTACCTCCGAAAGAGATGGGCTACCGCAACTGGCTGAATGAAAAAGAGAGGGTGTAGTGAGCACCTGCTGATAATGAGCCAGTCGCACCAGTAGTCTGATCCCAGCTCCTCCATGTGGCTCTTGAACATGATCAGGCACTGCGTGTCGAGGTTGTTCTTCAGCTCCAGCTCATTGCACATATGGACCGGGGCGAAAGGCCACCCTGCACAAATGAAGGAATGGCATTTAGCATTGCACTTTCCCTGTTATCGGTGTCCTTGTTAAAAACGAATGTATTGTGTCATTTTCAAACTGGCCTCATTTAAAATATGTACCGACCTTAAAAATAATGTGTTCCGTAATAATGTACTGTGATACTGCATTGGTATATGCAAAGTTATTCCTCTTGACACGGCATTCATCATGTATAGACGTTTGTCAATCCACTGCAGGATTAAGGCCTCTGGACACCGTGCAGGATATAGAGGTTGTTTGACCATAGTTCACCATGCTGATCAGTGGTGGATGTTAAAGGAATAGGGGTGTGGGGGCCAACCAGGACCATTTTAGACTTATCTAACCACTGATTTCAGCAATGGCTCGGAAACAAACTCAGGTCACCGGGTTCATAGTGCAGTATGCTGACCATTGTGCCAGGTTACAAAATAAACAAAGGCTTGCATTGAACGCAGTGCATTTGATTAATCTATTTACTATACAAAAATCCAGTAGCATGTCAAAACATACGTGCATACGGTACATGCATGCACGTATGCATTTAAATTTGGGTCCGTCCATAAATGACGTCACGCACCTAGGGGGGAGGGGGTCAGACATTTGTGACGATGTGTGACGAGGGGGGGGGAGTTTGAGAAATGTGACGTCACATCAAAATGCGCAACTTTAAATAAATATAGACATACACGTTCTACTTAATTAAATATACTTTTTAATAAAACTTTCTCCTACAACATCAGAGTGCAGCGCCACATGAAATACGCACTGCAATGACAATAATTTAAATCGATTTGAAGCATGTTTTATTTGGGGGGGGGGGGGGGCAGAGCTTTGTGACGTCATATTTGAGGGGTGTCTGACTTTTTGTGACGCCGTGTGACGAGGGGTCAAAAATCGCGTGACGTCATTTATGGACGACCCCTTTGACAACCCTTTCAACATTAGCTTGAGTAAGACGTATGATAAACAAAAAAAGAAGTACATTTGCATGAGCATAGATGGCAGTTGGTAGAGCTGTCGACGTTGTCAGGATTAGAGTGAACGTGCCATGCAGACCCGACAAAAGGGTTACATATCGACAATGCCTTTAAGGCAATACAGTCGCTAAAGAGATGCACACAGATCCAGGACGGAAATTCTCAATGGACATCGCAACTGCCAGAGCATTTGCAGATTGCCATCACAGCCGCTTGGGGGTGCAATTTTAAAAGGGCCCCAGAAATGTAAACGCGTTTTACACTGCATTCGTACCTACGTCACGGTCAAAGATGGTTATCTATAAGTGTGTGTCTTTTTTTTTACACCAGTAATGCATGATAACACCGTACCTGTACTCTTTGTCTTAGAATAAAAAAAATGTAAGGACAATAGCTACAGGAGGGAAACACACTTGAGAGGAGCTACATGAATTATCTCATTGTAAGGCAGTGAGAGATTGAAGTGACTTGGGGAGGGCTTCATCCATCAGAGGATAGATGATGGCTCATGATGTTTATGAGAATTACGAAAGCATTATTTAACCGTTTATTAGGTTTCTATTAATGGATCAGAAGTCAGCTTATATCTGGTGATGACCTCCTTTCCAATGTTATGCTTGACGTTCATTTCTACTTGGTTAGTATAACAATTACAAGAGCCTCAAACAAACTATGACCTAATGCTCTCTACGCCACTGTCGCTTAACCCCCTCCACATCAGTACCTTTACTTTAAAGTCTAGGTATCCAATTATGTGTGAATTCCCATCATATTTATCAGCCGCATCTTTTAATTAGTGGGAAAGAAAATGAAACATAGAGGGTCAAGAACAAAGCAGGTTGGAGGTCGCTCTTTTTTTCTAAATGTCTTCATTTATCCAGACTCGTTCCCAAATGTGTTAAGGTTATGGAAAATGCTCCAGAACTAGGCCACCACTAACCCAAATATAATTGAGTGGTAACCTACTTTTTTAAAGACTTGTGAATAAGCAGCTGGCCAGACTATACAGAGCTAAAAAATGATCAATCGAAGGTTAACTTCAGATGTATTTCATATATTTAATCCTACTACTTTACGCTAAAAGGCTAATATTTACCATGCACAATGGAGAAACAGAATAACGTAAATATCCAGGACTCGTTTTTTGTTATTTCATTGTGCATCCAACGGATTGTGTCATTATTATCCAGTTTAGCTGTGGGTACACATCTGCTAGGCAACAAGCTACATTAGCAATGCCAATGATTCAAGTTCGTTGTTTTAAGCATGGTCTTCACGTGCATGCACACACATATATCTTATATGTACACAGTAATCTACTTACATGTGTAATACATTTGTATAGTTTTACCTAATTGGCTGTTCTCAAGGGACCCTCAAATAAACATTACAATTGATAGTTTTGCAAAATATAATTAAAATGCACATTATGTTACCTTCAACCGTTCATAAATACGTATAACGTCTACCTTGGAATATATTAAACATTGTGGTCATTCCCAAAATAAATTGCCTACCGTACCACGGGTATCCATCCGTCTATCTCGTTCATACCGCTATAAGCCACGCGGCCTCACAACATATACTCTATTGTGATACTCTGTAGAGTGTAGACCTTTGCCAATCCACTGCTGGATGGAGACTTCCCCACGCCGTGTCGGCCTTCGTGGCTGTTTGACCGAACTGTACCACGGCTGTTATAAAGAGCACTGTTATGGATCGGTCCGCATAGCAGTTGCTACAGATGTTAGCCGTGGCCAGGAATAGAACTCAAGTGGACATATTCATAGGGAAGTGCGCCTAATCAACGGGGATACTCTTTACTATGTTTACTCAGCACTTTCCCCAAACATTCTATCAAATACTAAAATAAGTTTATTTGAACGCCCCTGTACGAGAGAGACGTGAATATAAGCACAGAGAGTTGCAAAGAGTGGCCAACTGGCAGTCTACGACAGTCACAGAACCATATATGAGCACGTCCTCGTGGTACAATTGCAGTACACGGCAGAACACACTTACCCAGCAAGGCTAGAGCCGCCAGAGTCCTGAGCGCAGGTGAGCCTTGAGCCATGAGAGCTGCGATCTCTATCCGCCAGGTGAAAACGGTCCGGATGAATCGGCCAAAATCTCCAAGCCCATCTCACAAATTAAAGAACAAAAATCCACAGGCTAAGCGCACGAACCAGGAATTAAGAAAAGGTCTGCTATCTGCCACTATGCAGGAACACTGTGTAATATTTAAGCGCCGGTGTTTCGTAACGCCTCTTGCGTGAGGTTTTTTGTTGCGAGAATAAACTTGCTTGGGTGCACGTTCAGGCGACGAGGAAGAGGAAGTCGTCCCGAAGTTAAAACGCGCCTGTGGTCGATCCACACGCGCACATCGTTGCGTGTTGCAGGGCAAACGGACTGTGAGATTCCCAGGAGCAGAGGCGGGCGTCGCTGAACCGAGGCAGCCGCTAGCTCTCCCACGGACGGACTGGGGGGGGGGGGGTGGTGACACACACGGGGGTCCTCGTTTGGCGCAGTTCAGGCTCCTCGTTGGCAGACACGTGGCGTTGCTCACTCTAATAAGGGCGGCGTTCTCCCGGTAGGAGGGGTCCTGTGTGCATCTCACACAGGACCGGGGAGGGGGGGTGAGAGTGCATGAGAGTGCGCGAGGATGTGTGCGCACCTCTTGCACAAACTCGGCGCCTGTAAAAGCAAAACCAGAGACGGGTTCCCGAGTCAATTTACGCGAGCAGAGGCGCGGTGACGGACGCCCAGAGTGCGAAGAGCTGACAGCCATGCAAATATATGAGCGGTGCCTCCTCGCATTAATGCATTCGTTTGCCTGTGCAGAACACCCCCCCACCACCACCCACACTCTTCTCCAAAGGGCGAGCCACCGGGGCGCTTCTTCTGTGTGGCCAAGAGAAGCAAGGGCAGCCAAGGCAGGCCCCCTATCCACTTGATCCGGGGTTTTGAATCGATGGACTTAAATTTTTAATTGCGCTGCGCTCTCTTTACAGATCCCTATTTTAAGGTTCGTGCGTGCATGTCATGCGTTTTGTAGAGTACTGTATGTACAATCAAGTGGACTCGTGAATCTCGTCAATATATTGCTTCGTATGTGTGCGTATATAGTAGAGGGCATATATTGTCCGCGGGTTCCGTTAATCAGGATATCCGAATTCAGTACATAAATAGTTTGTGATCGACAGAGCTGTGTAACTCACTTTGGACTTTGTGTACTCAACCCCGTATATATTATTCAGCGAGGTAAATAGAAATGTCAAGGGGAACGTCAGGTGTCCATGTATCTACCGCGTTAGATTAAAATCTCCGTAGCATGTAACACCTGCTATGAGCAGCACACATACGGTCACGCTGCGTGGAGGTCAGATTTTAAGCTTGATAAACAATGTTTCCCAACGGTGCTCACAACCATTCCATATCACCAACGGCAGGCAGCTTGTTAACTCGGAGACCAGCTTCTTAATCTGTGCATACAATGCAATCTCCGTCAGCCATGGTCAATCCACTGCTGGATGATGACCTCCCCAAGTCGTCGCTGTAATCCATCCAGCACCTGCACACGAGCTGATTTACACAATGCGATACATCTTTGGATTTATACAGCGCCTTACGTGCGAAAGAATCTCAGCAACCTCTAAAAGAAAAGTGGGCGTGCACATGACTTGGAAAATTGGAGCATTTAAGAAAGGGGTTACTCAAGAAAGGAGGCGTGAAGGGGTCGGAGCCTACGTGGCAGAGAACGGAACAACTGCGTTGAAGGCAGATACTATAAGAGACATTTCCTACAAGCAGGGCAGTCAATCACAGACAGAGACGAGAAGGAAAGTCATAGAGTCTGGATTTGAACGAGGCCAGGTAGATGGTCGAGCAGACGACCAGTGGGAGGAAGTTCCAGGTGGAGGTTCACTGAGGGTTTCTGCGGAAGGTTTCCGTTTGTTGGAGCAGAGAGTGCGTGGAGTGAAAGGAAGAGCGAGATGAGAGGGGATGGTGGAAGAGAGGTAGACGCTGGGCGAGTCTATGTGGACGGAATCTTGTCGTAGATTCGGGATTGCATTGGGAGCCAGCAGAGGAATATAAAGATCGCAGTGATGTGGTGGTGTTATATGGGTGCGAGCTAGAAGTCTGGTCCCAGTCACGCGGAGAACAGAGAGTGGTTTATTATCCCTGCAATGGGTTTTGTGGAGTCTTTTTGTACACGGGGTAAATTGATGATAATGGATTACATCACTTAAAATCTCCAATTTGAACAGCCACACTTTACGTACGACGTAAAGTGCCAATGTACCTGGCTAAAGCTGTTAGTTCAAAAATACAGCAGCACTGCTATGAGACGTGGTTTGGAGACATGGACATTATTGACATGGAAATTGGGACAAAGGCTGAAAAGTGCGTAAAAAATCGTGGGAATGTGCATGTTTGGGATTACACATGAAACCGAAAGGGCAACACACGGATGGGCGAACATACACAAGGGGGAGAGATACCGCTTGGCAATACAAGTAAGTGGGCTTGGGCAGGATACGTCTACAGAAGCGATGACTGTTGATAGCCTAGACAAACGACGATGTGGAAACACGCACCAGGGCGCGTGCAACGCGGAGATGGAGCGACTAGATTCGCTCGTGTGCACTTGCTGGATACTTCGCTGAATCGCGAGACCGTCAGAGACGGAGACGAGTTGGGGAGGCCTTCATCCAGCAGTGGATAGATCATGGCTCATACGACGTTGGATTTTACGCCAGAGAATGCGTCGGTTTCTTCCTCGGCGCGTTTGGAGTTTATTCTCACGCGAAACGCAAGAGTAATGGGCCACACATTCCAAATCAGGAGAGCCCCCAATGCTCCTTTCAGCACGAGGTGACGCGTGGAGCGCAAAGGGTAAGGTTTCTCCGGGAATAGCGCAGCCGATGAGCCGAGTCGCCCTCTCCGGGCAGACTCAAGGCACCGAGGAGTCCCGAGGAATCTCTATGCGCGTGTCTATTCCTATCTCCTCTGACATTTGTATTCGAAACTGTACAGGCTTTTTTATGTTTCCCGGAATCGCTCACGTGTTTCGGCCTTTAAACGCGCATTGTATGGACACATTTCGAAGAGCGTGATAATTTGTACTTTGGAATAATGGAAAGATGGGTTTTTTTGCATTGGGTATTACAATTTTTATTGCTGAATGCGCTAAGGCACTATCACTATACATTCCCAGAGCTTATTTTTAAAGGGCGATCGATGCGTCTATAGTCATAAGCAGATCATGGGGTGTTGCTACTCTTATCTGCCAGTGACAATTGTACTATTTGCCTGGCTCACTAAGTGCCACCTTGTGGTTAGCAGCACTAATGGCATCTCTTCCACATTTAATTATATTGTTTGGTGATAATGCACACACTGCCAACGCATTATAATGTGCGTTGGCAGTGTGCCCAAAGCTCAAAGTACAATTCAATTGAGGCAACTGTTTGACTTAGGTTGTGGCAACAACATTGTTCGAATGTACAATCGGCATCCTGTAGACATTGTATTGCATATTCAATGAAAGCGATATATGAATTCACTTATTTTACTAACATTGCTTCAGCTGACCGTAGTTGTTTGACGTGGAGAAGGCAAGGATTGGTGGATGAATGTTGACACATTGTTGCGTGAAAAAATGTAGTCTATGGCAATGCTTGGACTGTTTATTGTTGTTTAAATTCAGAGTTCTATATGCAGTATGCTGCCACTCGTACTTTTTTTAACAGACCAAACTGTAAATGACCATCAGAACGCATCAATAATCTACTAAACTGAGAAAGTAATGAGTAAAGGCAGCTAAAAGAGATCACGGTCTCATGGGGGCCAAAGTGCATAGACTTTTGACTTTTAAACAATTTTTATTGCTGCCAGCAGCAAAAGCACTGGAGGCGATTTCGATATGAAATACACAGTCACCAGCAAACAAATGAAAATAAACGCTACAAATCCACGCGCTGTGGTGTAGTACAACAATTCCCTTAGTGATCACGTCTGTGCGAGCTTTGAGAGTTATATCCTCGTATGCATGGGATTTCTCCGGGTACAATGGGTCTCTCTCACATCCTATTATTGCAGGATCGTATACGTATGTATGCTGAACTTCTTTCGCACCGTACGTAGCCTACCGTGTCAATCGGAGGTACAGGCTTTACTGTACTATAAATTAGCGCTGCAAAGCCTGCAAAACGTACTGCAGTATATGACTGCGCTGCAGTACAAAATACCTGGTAAAAAAAGTGGAATTGAATTTCTTAAAAGGGCAAACAACAGTGGCGGGCAATGAAAAAATGTTGCACAATAGTGTACGAGCACAGTGAAAAAGTTAATTCAATAACGACAAATGCCCTGTCTAAATGCAGTGCCACTTCCACCCACACTAACACTTTATAAAACAATAACTGCGAGCTCTCGAGATCAAAGATTAACCACGGAAAACGAACAATCATCTCCTAAACAGAATAAGGTCATCTTCGTCTTTCGTATGGCTGATGTAGATGCAGAGGAACAACTTAAATTTCACATTTAAGGTGGTAACGCCAGCTAATCGCGTCAGGAGCAGCTGAGCTGTATTGCTTTGATGTCTCCTTCATATTTGTGGATCGGGCATTGCGTCGTTATATGTTGTACTGTCTGTTCTGGATAACCGCAGTAGCACACTACCTGGAAATATTTTTTGTTCCCATTTGTGCATCAGGGCGAGATGTTAACTCCCTCGCCTGGTATACAGGAAACAGTGGGTTTGATCCTGACCGCAACGCCCACATATTTGGAGTTTGCATGTTCTCCCTGTGGTCATGTGGATTTTTCTCCGGGTCCTCCGGTTTTTCCCTCCTCATTTAGAAAAATGCGTTTAGACTATTTGGCTGCTGTACATTTCCACATGATGATAAGCCACTTCGTTGAGCTATTATTTGTGGTCAGGTCGATTCTGAAAAAAGAAGCTATATAGCTCAGTGGGTCTTACCTGGTAAAACTAAACTAGCTTCATGTTTGTGCAGTGGATGCGATTTAGGCTTGACCCATGAACTTCGTGGAAGATCAAACCCAGGCATCTGCGTTTGGGCCTTTCAACTAAAGGTCATGAGCCAAAGGCAGCCCCCCCCCCCCCCGTCTACCCCAGCCAATGGTATTTCCCAATCTGGCTGAGAGGGGGGCCGCAGCCTGAATTGACCAATCACAACACGCGGCAGCCACCGCTAGGTGGCAGTGAGCGCAACCACGATTCGGGTGGGGGCTGTTGTATACTGCCAGGGACTGACCACACAGTACCAGTAGTGTGATAGGGTGACCCAGGGCCCTTGTGAGTACCCTCTTTGTCGCACTTATTACGTGATTTGCATTGCGCACGAGACTGCCGGTACGTGTCGGCTGTTGTTGTTGTTGGGTTTGGTTGTTGTTGTTGTTGCTGCTGCTGTTGGGCTGCGTTCGTAGAATACAGGAGGAAGCGCAAGAATACTTTCAGCGGGTCTTGTGTCTGTGTGCCGCTCACAGTACTTGCCTCAACAGTCTGTCGTTGTGTCAACTTCTTGGTTGGCCGGGTAGAGGGGGCCATACGCGCATTGCACGGGCTAGAGGAGACACGAGGGCTCATGTGGTACAAGAAGGATGTGGAGCTGAGTGGACTTGACTATGACCGGGATCAGCGGTGACAAGATCGGCCTCTGTGGAGAAGGCTCGTGAAGGACGCTGAGGGGGGCAGTGCCAGGCTAGGTGCACATTGAGGCACTGGGGAGTTGTAGGCAGTCGCCCTCCAACAACAACGGAGGGCCGAGGTCCGACGCTCACGGCAACGGGTGGAGCGGCGGGCGGCTAAAGCGCAGCAAGTTGGTGTTATGGGTTGAATGTCTGACAGTCATCTCAGTCATTCAAACCCACAACACTTGGGTCTGTTCCGTGACCTGCCAGCAGCGAGCCTCAAGGTGCACCTAGCCTGGCACAAGCGAAGTGGTGACATCATTCGCCAATGGCGGCCGTTGTTGTTGTGTGTGTTGGCAATGTATCCTTCAACGCTGCCAGGGTTACACCTGCGGAGGTATATATATAGTACCTGTAATAGCATTGTTGAAGCAAGCGCCCACGTGCGTGTACTGTGTGCCCACGTGCGCGTACGGTGTGCCCACGTGCGCGTACTGTGTGCACTGTGTGTCCACGTGCGCGTACTGTTTGCCCACGTGCGCGTACTGTGTGCACTGTGTGCCCACGTGCGCGTACTGTGTGCACTGTGTGCCCACGTGCGCGTACTGTGTGCCCACGTGCGCGTACGGTGTGCACTGTGTGCCCACGTGCGCGTACTGTGTGCACTGTGTGCCCACGTGCGCGTACTGTGTGCACTGTGTGCCCACGTGCGCGTACGGTGTGCACTGTGTGCCCACGTGCGCGTACGGTGTGCACTGTGTGCCCACGTGCGCGTACTGTGTGCACTGTGTGCCCACGTGCGCGTACTGTGTGCACTGTGTGCCCACGTGCGCGTACTGTGTGCACTGTGTGCCCACGTGCGCGTACTGTGTGCCCACGTGCGCGTACGGTGTGCACTGTGTGCCCACGTGCGCGTACGGTGTGCACTGTGTGCCCACGTGCGCGTACGGTGTGCACTGTGTGCCCACGTGCGCGTACTGTGTGCACTGTGTGCCCACGTGCGCGTACTGTGTGCACTGTGTGCCCACGTGCGCGTACGGTGTGCACTGTGTGCCCACGTGCGCGTACTGTGTGCCCACGTGCGCGTACTGTGTGCACTGTGTGCCCACGTGCGCGTACTGTGTGCACTGTGTGCCCACGTGCGCGTACTGTGTGCACTGTGTGCCCACGTGCGCGTACTGTGTGCACTGTGTGCCCACGTGCGCGTACTGTGTGCACTGTGTGCCCACGTGCGCGTACTGTGTGCACTGTGTGCCCACGTGCGCGTACTGTGTGCACTGTGTGCCCACGTGCGCGTACGTGTACTGTGTGTGTGCTGTGCACGTAGCGATGGAGCACACAGCCGGCACATTGCGGTGCGATGTTGCACGCTGCTGCTGTTCAGACTGAAGTGCGTGGATAGGTGGAAGTGTGCACGCTTCAGCTATTACTGTGGTACAGATACCAACTCTGCTTCGGGTATCACTCTGGATCAGTTACCACCCAGCTTCAGATACCACTGATTTAGATATCACAGTAATTCAGATACCACTGATCCAGATACCACTGATCCAGATATCACTCTACTTCAGATACCACTACTTCATATGTCACCCAAGTTGTGTACAATATGTTTGCTTTAACTGCAAACCTTACGTCATATGCTTCTTGATGTGACTGCAACTTGTGAAGTGACGTTACGTGTTATGTCTGGGTGTAGGTTATAAAGTACCACTTTGTATACTACTTTACTGTGCAGTCTGCCACGTAGACTTAGTAGACATGGGACGGGTTTCATTCTCTAGTCATGAATTCCAATGTTACACATTTCTGCATTCCACTCACGGATGCCACGTGTCCTGGTTCCTTCACAGTCTGTACGCCACACATTATTCTGTGCAGCAGAGGGCATTTCAGCAAAATCCACTGTTGTACTGTACTATACTTATATGCCCCTACCTCTCTTATGCTCCCCACCTTCATCAGTTCGTACTGACCAGCGTGGTGAAGTATGATCATATAACTCCCACGGTGCGCAGAGGCTGTACATGTGCCAGAACACATTCCTGCTGCGGAGGGAGCTGGTAGGAACGTTGGGTTGGTCGGTCAATGGCCAGGGTCAACGGCGGCGTGGTGTATTCCGCAAATATGCCCGACTATGAGGGCGGGCACAAGCCGGCGTGAGTTGGTTAAACGTTGAGTTTTATAAGGGCACCACGGGGTGACCAGCCCTCCCCACCCAGCCCCACCCCTCCCTCTCCACCCAGCCCCTCCCTGCACGACGGACGGACACAATAATCCCCTGTGGGCTGGTGTAACCAGGAGGTTCCTACCAGTATAAAGCATTGCTTATTTTTACACACAAACATTGTGACTATATAATACAGCCTTGTACCTTTCCAGTCTACACTGACAGAACCCAGTATCGTACTGTACCCCCTAGATAACCACGTAATTTTGAGTGAAACTGGACTCTGTAACCTGGCAGATTAATGTTTATTGACAATAACAGGATACTGCCCTACTCAGCATAAAGCCTGTACACCACTGAAGTATTTTCTCCGCATTAATACCACAGAGTTATTGTTTGCCGCTTTGTACAATGTGTGCATGCGCACGAGCATTTGGTCAAAATGCATGGACTACAAAATTAACTTGAGACTGTTTAAACATGGGAGGCGTTGTAATGAAGTGAGTATACGACACGATGAAATGGCTTGGGAATGTAGGTGCTTCCTTTCTGCGCGTTGCTCAAGCGGAACCACTGGCTGCATGTTGTGTACTTTGGAGAGAGGTGAAGAGCCTCGAAGTTGGTTTAAGTCCCCAATTGAGTACCCGCCCTTATCCATGAGCCCGAAGTGTTTAAGTTCAGACTTCAGGGCCATTCTGAGGATGCATTGTGAGTGATGTTAAGCTCACAAGTGCCATCCTTGTATCTCTAGAACTGTATAACAGTGAAACAACATAGACACCTTTATGTTGACATTTGGGATCACGCATTTGACTGCGATTAGTGTTAGAAAACCCCCGATTTGCTTGTTTTAGTAATGTTTTTAAATGAATTCTCATTCAGGTTTGTGAACCCAGGTTAAATACATGACATTAACAAACCTTAGATTTTACTTTAGTTGGATAAAATACAAATCGAGTCGTATCAATCTTATTTACAACTTGTGTGATCATACTGATTATATTATAAAAGATAAAGGGGCACCCTTGAAATGTCTTGCTCATGCCACTACTAGCAGAAGGGCCTCCAATAGAGGGACATGGACATATTGGCGGTACACTGGCGCAGCATAAAACACCTGTCTTCCTAAAACAGTCTAAAAATCTAAATTTGAATAGCAAATCTCCTTATCAGTCTTTAATTGACCCTGTCGCAAAGTTTGACGGGATTCGTAAGTTTATTCAGTCTACCGAGACTTGATAAAAAAAAGGTCAATATTGACCGTTGATTTGGGTCCGTTGAATGAGGAACCGTCCGATCAAGCCTAAGGCACGAGTCATATTTGCCTGTTGAATATGGGGCCAATCGTCATCAGACTTGGCAATAGCTATACGGCAACAGAATGTAAAGCTTCGTGTTCAGCTGCTCATACCACGCGTCTTCCGATTGCTTTAACATCACGAGAACTGATTTTGACACACCCCGCAAGATTTTCTGATCGGGTTTGCAAATCACGGGAAAATAAATAATTATTGCGGAAAATTTGCTTTTTTATCCTGCACACTGATGTACCACCAATACGTTCATATAGAGAGCTCCTACTCTTGCACGCTGGTCAGACATCTTCGAATAGGTGGGAGTATTAACACTTAACCCCAACACTTGCAACCTACCAATGAATTGACTGGTGTACCCATTTGTACGACATAGGTACTACATAGGTGGACAGAGGTATGGAAGTTGTCATCAAAAATGTCTTCTCTCCATGCTCAGATCACTCTGCATTACATCCTCTGACACTTCAATTTAATTAATTGCCCAATGCTCCCAATCCCATCGTTTACATCTTCTCTTTCATTATATTATTATACTCCAGACAGCTCCTCACAAAAAGGTGTGTAAATCTTTAAGAGTTTGCGCACTGCAAATACATGCATTTAATTACATAACGTTGTGCAATAGTCCACGTTGTTTCCACAGGTCTTGGTGGGATAACACGGAAGCTTTTTTTTATTTTGCTGCGCAAAGTTCGGCTGTGAAAGACAATTCCTGCATGGCTCACACTGGCAGTGCATTCCTGTGTGTTTTTCCTGTTCCAGTCAGTGCGGCCACCACAGAGACCTCCGTAACCTGCTCGTACAAATCTTAAACAGGTAAGGTATTCTTTTGTGTAAATATGGCATATTTGCCCTTGCTCTTGCAGTAATTTTGGAATCTTGCTTTTGTTTCTATTTTTCAATGGTTGTGTGCAGTGTATACCTGTTGTGAACAATGTTGGTTGACGCTGTCCAGTTTTGGCCTGTTCTGACAAGCGCTAAACTGGTGTAGCTAGCATGCCTTCTAAAATAAGTGCACATGACATATAGAGCGTTACATATAGAGTTTCACATGTACAACAGATAAAGGTTGAATGTATCCTATAAGTATTTTCAAACTTAGCCACATTTTTCTCTTTGTGCATTGCTTAACTACCTATCAGAAGCAGTAAAATTAAAATCCTGACCAGGGTACAACTCAACCCATTGGTTTTATGGGGTCGACAAATGAGTACCCCCTTTTGGGAAGTGGTTGACTGGGGGAAATATGAAATTGCAGTGTCTGTTCAGAGCCACCAATGAATCAGAGCATCCCTCACTGCTCATTTGTATGGGGAGACACGTTGACAATAATAAAATACTTCATTTTAGATTGCACCTTCATGTATTTATACTGTGGTGTTAAAGAGAAATAGTCCTGCGCGGTCACTATATTGTATTCTGCATAATACGCATGGAGGCTTATCTGAAATATTGCCAAACTGAAAGAGTGTTGGAATAACATTCACGAAAGCATTGAGGGCTTTATCTTCAGACAGTGTTGGAATTGCTCTGGTATCTAGCCATGGTTGCATCTCCTATTTCAATTACAAATTTCAGGCAGTTCAGTAGAAGATTGCATTTAAAGTAAATTTCGAAAATAACCTTTTGTATCTTTTACATATTTTAGCACAGCCATGCTGCAAATATTGAAGCATGCACGCCTTGTAAGTGGACAAGTCTGTGCACCATCAATTAGGTATGGAACTCCGAAGTTATCCTCATTATCGTATTGCATTACATTTAATTCTTACATGTGTCTTGGTAAAGAGTGGGTGGAGGCATTGTGAAAGATGGAGGAAAGGGGGAGGGCTGCACTTTACAGTCTGTCATTTATACAAAACGAATAATAATTGACATCCCTTTAATCCACCGTATGATTAAGACCTCCCCATACCATGTCGGCCGTGGGTTTTGTTTTGACCATATTTCACCACACTGGTCAATGTAGGTTGATAAAGGGGAACGCCCAAGATCAGTTCAAATATCACACACCACTGCTATGGGTGGCCAGGTGACCAGGTTATATTCCAGAGCATTTTACTTACCAATGCGGCAATGCTCAACATATTGTTCGTCCATTTGGAGAGTGTAAGTTTAATTATATTCAACTGTGGAAGGCTATGGAATAAAAGCTTTGAAGCATAATAAACAGAACAAAAAATGGGAGGTAGCAAAGTATTGTTTTATCCTTTATTGGTACAAGTGGAATTGACTGAGCTGGTCAGAGCATTTTTTTGCTTGTTCTTTTGATATATTATTGAGACGTAGTAGTGTCTGGCCACTTTTCCTATATTTGAACCATCTACATGTTTTAAGTGACATTTAGATAAAGCAGGCTTGATTTTACCCATCATGAAAGTTTTATGGCTGAAGGGTTTTTCAGTGAATATCAATTTTGATGTGGCTCATGGACCTGACCAGGGACATTTTTTTTAGGTGAACACATTATTTGTTTATACTGCATTGGCAGTGGTGCACAAGCAAAGATAACACAAACTCAACACATTAATCATTCACGTGCTAGGAAATAGAGCTTTTGCCCAAAATGTCGCCTATTACACGTTTTTCTGTTCGAGGCAATGTTATTGGCAAATGTTGTTGAGTTTTACTTTAGGATGAGAACTAGTAATATGACTTCTTCTGAACATATTTGAAATGGGTTATTGTAACAGTGCACCAGTCATGGGGGCCTTACTCAGTTCTCTCTGATTTCTAAGACCACAGCGACTAAACCTGAATATTTGTTTTACAGGTTTCACATGACAGTGGAGGATAAATCAGGAACCATGTTCATGCTTAGAAGGTACAGTAAGTGTATATACTGTAAGTTGTCAGGAATATTGAAAATGTTCTGTTATTTGTTTTTGCCCATTAACAGATTATACCAATGGTCAATATTTCAAACCGCATCAGATATTTTGGACATATAGTTTTGTTTCATCCAATAGTGACGTATTGCATATTTTGTCACTTAACACTGCTTTGACGTAATTTGCAAATAAAAAGATTTAAAGATAATAGTCATATTTTAAATTGTAAAAGTTGAGGTTTACTCTTAAACATCTTTTTGCAGCAGTGAGTGATCAACTAAAGTTTGCGTGAAGTTAACTTAAAAATATGAGGGCCAGCTAATTTTACCATTGTGGCTTCAAATATTAAATAACTTTTCAGTGATTGTATTAACTAAATATAATTTACATGCACGTATTAATTCTACTCTCCATACCAATTCTGTGATATGTTTTCTGATTGACACAATGTGACATAATGCTCTCAAGATTATACGATGTTTCATGACTGGTTGTGGTGTTGATCTCTGCACAAAAGTGGAGGTATTAAAACCACATAAAGAATACTAATATTACGAGTACTGCACAACACTTATCTCCTTTTCAAAATAACATGATACATGCCATGTGTTTGGTGTGAGACTTGCACATTCAGCTTTTTTCATGTGCCCGCATAGTGTCTCATGCGTTTCAGAAGCTTGGCAATCTGTATTCGGCAGTGTTCATTTTGTAAATGAAATTAGTCATAAAAATTCCTGTAAACTTAGCATGCAGTTATTTATTTATTTTAGTTTCCGGTGACTGAGTGTACAAAAATCATCAAGCATGACGATGACCACAACTACCCACCAAAGACCAAAGCGTGACTGGCTATGATGGGATGAAATTAACTCATCTGAACGAGGATGATTATTAATCATGTCAAATATTAGAGGCAGCAGTGCACTGAGGAAGACCAAACATGTAATTGCCTATGCATGTATATGAATAGATTTACCAAGTTAACAGGTGGGGGGGTCCCTGAGTATAAAACATTTTAAAACAACTCTATAGTGGTCAGCGAACTTGTTAACAGTACCCACTCCACCCCAGCCAGCTGGTGGCTGGTTAAATTGTCATTTTTTCACTCCCCTTTGTTGCCAATTGTTCAATTAACTCTCAAGGAACGAATGGCCAATCGTACATATCACACCGTTCTTTAAATATTGAGAACTCTGCTTGTTCTCTACATAGTTTTACATTGTTGTGAGTGGATTTGCAGTTAGGGCCCTACATTGTAATAGAAGAACAGTTGGCAGCCATCATCTTAAAATTTCAGTAAAGGGTGGCCTAGCACAATGTGTACTCGACTAGTCTCAACTCACAGTAGTTAAAAATAATACATCATAAAACCCCAGGCACATTCTAAATACATGATGACAAAGTGTTTTACTCAAGAAATGTACCCTGACCTTAAATATTGAAACCTGTCAAACTGTACGCACAAGTTTGACCCTAGGCTGTTCGCGTTGGTAGGCCAATGTCAGCGCCCTACTGCACGCACAGATTGTGTGTACGCTGTACTCTCGTGTAAGTTATTATTTTATTCATAATAAGGTTTTTGGGTTAGATCGCGTTATTTATAAATGTGTCGCAAACCTCCACCACCCGACACGGTCAATCAGTAAAAAATGTGTCACATTGAAAAAAGACAAATAGTTCACTACTTTAGCCCACCGGTGTGTTGAAGAGTGAATCCATAACATTTTCAGTTATTGAGTACGACGTTTCGCTGGTAATTACATTCAGCATCATCGGGCAATTTGCCAGAATGGTGAAGCCCTCCACTTGCTCCCGGTCTTAAATAGAGCAGCAGGGTGACATCATCATTTAACCCAATCAGGTGCAGAGATCAGAGGTGGAGGGGGGTATTGTAATGATATAGATTAGTAATCAGTTAATTGTTATGATTCGTAATTAGTAATTAGTTGTAATGTGTATTATTTAATAACTGAACCCAATCACTATACCCAATCAGGTGTAGAAATCAGAGGTGGCGGAGGGGGGGGGTTATTGTAATTATTATATACTACGTTAGTAATCAGTCAATTAGTATGTGTTTCCCCTATAAGGAATTGTAATATGTATTATTTAATAATACGCTTCCAGGCCGCACTAAGCCTGGAGCTGTCAGAGCGATTAGAGTTATTTGTATTTCTCTAAATTTCAATGGATTCTCTAATTAGTTCTAGCCAATAATAATTCGTTTTACACAACACTTGAACGTTATCAAAATCAATTGAGTGGCCTTGTTGGCAAGCATGTTCTGCTACTGTCGACAGTTGTGTTTGAGATAATTTAATATTTCTTTGGTGTTCTTTTAGTCTTACGCTGATGTTACGTCCCGTCTGTCCAATATAGCATCTGCCACATAAACAATTGATCCGATATACACCTTCTGTTGATAATTTAGGTAATTCGTCATTAGTACAAGATACTAGTTTTTGAATTGTGTGTACTGTACCAATTATTTTATACCGACAAAGAATCGTTCTTCACTGCAGCACGACTGTGATTGCAGGTGCCTGGCTTCGGCCGCCTCTGCACGGGTGACTGCTGGCATGCAGGCTTCGGCAGCTCACTACAGCACAGGCAGCGCCGAGTCGGAGCATGGGACAGGCCTTCGGCGTCACGTCATCCTGCTGGGGACTGCCCTTGGTGTGGGTACAGTTATGGCCCTGGGACTGTATCAGAACTTACATGTGAGTGCATTAATACGTCTCAATGTTTTACTTGTCAATAATATATGCGTAGCATCACATCAATATACAAATGCATTTCCAATGCAAAACTTAAAAACTGGTGATATTTTGACAAAGGCAAGTATGTATTCATCTCTAAACACCGCTTGTCGACAGGTAAACTTTGACCTTACAGTGTTACGTATTTTAAATACCTGAAAATCTTAATTCCAAACTGCACATTGGCTTCATACTGACAACTCACAGTTTGTAATAACCACAGCGAATGGGATATATTAATGTAATAATACACATCTATTTCTCTAAGAGGACTGACAGGTCAGGTTAGCCACCACACTAAACATACACTGGACTTGTAGGTGATGGTGCAATAGCTGAGCCCAGGAAAGATGTGATGACCAGTAGGAGCATTTGTTATATCTGAGATCAAACTGAAAATTTGATCTAGGGCAGACGTTCTGTAAACACTGCTCTTGAAACTCAATAACCAAAGTGTGAAAGCTGGTTGTGTAACACAGGCAACAGTAAGCTTCATTTATTTTAACTGAGGTTTCTCAGAGCCTATGATTGGCATCTGATGCTTGAACATGAACACAGGGGTTTTGAGATGAGTTGACACAGTGTTCCTACTGACCAGCAGCAATGATCTAAGCCAAAAACAAATGTTTATAAAGCATCATCTGTTAGATGTTTGTGGTCCTATTTATCAATGTTACAATAGTGCGTGCAGCAGAACTCAACGTTAAGTAGGTAGGGTTAAAATAATTAAGCTTCATTTTTAGCCATTGCAGCAAAGGTGTATTCAATGTATGTGCTTCTTTTTGTGGATCACGTGGGATCTATGATGGCACAGAGGCTGCGATACATTTTAGGAATTGTTTCCCCTTCATTGTGAAATGGTGGTCAATGCTTATAATCCAACACTTTGGAGGCATGGGTTGATGGATCAGGTAGATTTCTGTCTGCGATTCCGAAACTTGCTGGGCTGCGAAGTGGGAAGCGGATATCACTAGGGCACAGGGATTCATAAACCTGTCTGCATGGACCTTTGAGCGTTAAACTACATCATGTTTCAGTTTTAGTCTGGTGATCTACTTTCCTCGCACCTGAAAAACATTCATGAATGAAATTCGCTAAACATCCCGAAGCAGAATATTCTTGATAAATACGTCATTTTATAATGTAAATATATACAATAATATAGCTAATGTACGTTTCTTTTTATATTCTTGGTTCTTTCAGTAAAGTCCTAATTAGGACGCTGTCTTTCCGACAGCTCTGTTTCTTCACCTGAGGACGGCTGCTTGTGTTGTGGCCGAAAGTCGTGAGAATTTGAATTATGTTTTATTATTTTATTATTTCCCTTCTACGTGACTTTACTGAATGAACCAATAATATGATTCCCTGCAGTCACGAAAGCTTTAAACCACGTTTCTTTTCTTAGTATTTCCTGCTAATATTATGAAATAAATTATTGGACAAGAATTCACATCCAACACCTATCGATCCAGCTATGATTTATAGAATCTTGGATCGGATCAGCTCAATTAGGGTTCACATTCTCAATATGATCTTAATTACGTGAGTAGGTCTTATGATACCAAGCTGGAGCCTAGTAGGAATGTTTTTCTGCTTTAATAAGAGATGGGGCAGTACTTTTAGTGGTACTAGAGAGGTGTTTTTACAGATGTAGGGAACAAATACTTCAGTGAAAATGAACATTCAGCGACCGTCATCGTGTCGGTTGTTTGATTGTCATACAAGCAGGTGTCTCAAGCCAAGGAAAAGGCAGCCCTGATGCCCAGCCGCTCAGATGCAGAGATGCCTGTGAAAGCCATCGAATCGGTCGCAGTGACAGAGCTGCCGATCTACACAGAGGCGGAGGTGGCCAAGCACCGCACTCCCGCGGACAAGATCTGGGTGTCGTACAAGGGTGGTGTGTATGACATCACCGCCTTCGTGGAGCTGCACCCGGGCGGGGACAAGATTCTGCTGGCGGCCGGCGGGGCCTTGGAGCCGTTCTGGGCCATGTACGCCGTTCACAACAACGAACACGTGCTGGAGATCCTGGAGGAGTACCGCATCGGCCGCTTGGACCAGAGCTCCGTTACGGTGGCGTCTTTGGACCTCTCTGACCCGTACTCAACTGATCCTGCGCGACTACCGATTCTCCGAATCAACAGCCTCAAGCCCTTCAACGCCGAGCCGCCGTCGCAGCTGCTGGCGGACACGTACCTCACCCCGAACGCGATCTTCTTCAAGCGCAACCACCTGCCGGTGCCCGTAATCGACCCAGAGACGTATCGCCTCGAGATTCAAGGGCTTGGCATGAAGAAGCCCATCAGCCTCTCGCTGCACGACCTGAAGAGCAAATTCAAGAAGCACGAGGTGGTCGCCACGCTTCAGTGCGCGGGAAACCGCCGTACGGAGATGAACCGCGTGCGGCAAGTGAAGGGCCTGGAGTGGGGCATAGCGGCCATCGGGACGGCTCGCTGGGGTGGGGTGCTTCTGCGCGATGTGCTGCTCTATGCCGGTGTGAAAGAAGATCAGCTTCCACAGGTGACAATGCGGCGGTGCTAAGTTGGTTGTGAAGGCATCTTAACTTTTTCCCGTTCCGATGACGTTCGTGTACGTCATCAGTTTGTATTCTGATTCCATTCTGATGACGTACCTGTATATCATCAAAATGAAAGCGAAAGAAAAAATAAAATAACTTTGTCGGTACCGAGGCTCCCACAAAGCCATGCGGGAGGGTGTGTGGCACAGTTTGGCGCAGCTATCATTGGGTGCGTTCTTATGCTACAGTTATATGCGGTGAGTACAATGTCTAAATAACAGCGGCGCTATGCCTCTTTAAATAAATTTAACTTTGCGCCGCTTGCGCGTTCTGAGATTGAGGTGAACGGTACTTGTAGACATCTCGGAACGGCAAAGGGTTAACGTTCTTGTTGGGAGTGCTGGGGTTTTATTATGCAAATCTACCTGTGATGAAAGTGGGTTGGCAAATGTAGCAAAGTTAATGTGCCATTAGGCAGATGACCAAGCACCGCACAAAATGTTATGGCAATAAATATATGTAATTTTTGTAAGCATTGGCCAACTTTAATTAATTCATTTTGTAAATAAATTTTATTGAATTACATTACGTAAAAATATTGACATGTATCCTTAATGTGTTCCAATTAGTGGTTTGGTAGTAGTCTTCTATAATTTAAATGTAACTAAGTAATAAACATATGAATCACAAAATGGTAAAGATTATCTTAATGCATTTTAAACCATCTGCCATACTTTCTCCTTCTCAAAACATGTCCAACTGACAGAACTTTGTATTTACGTTTTCACTGCAGTTGTAATTTAGCCAAGTATGAGAATTTGACTCTCATTTGCAATGTTGCGAGTTCGAATCTCCATCAGCAGGTTACTCAACCCATCATCTCTCTAGGCTTTATTAAATAAGTAGGAGTTAGATTTTTAGACTGACCCTTTCCAGAAAAATGTGGAATTACCCCCCCCCCCCCCACTAACACAGACACTTTCTCTCCCACAAATACTCGCTTGAGCTGGGAGACATTTGTACGTATATACGTATATACATTGTAGCCAACCATTCTTGACTGCATTGCTTTGTGCGTGTGTCAGAACGGGCATGTGCAATTTGAGGGCCTGGACAAGGACGTGACTGGCAGTGCGTACGGGGCGTCTGTGCCGCTGCACAAGGCCCTGGACCGCCGTGCCGACGTTCTGCTTGCCTACGAGATGAACGGCGAGGAGCTTCCCCGCGATCACGGCTTCCCGCTGCGCGCCATCGTGCCCGGCATCGTGGGCGCCCGCAACGTCAAATGGCTGGGCCGCGTGCTGCTCAGTCATGATGAGAGCCTCAGCCACTGGCAGCAGAACGACTACAAGGGCTTCTCACCTTCCGTCGACTGGGACACCGTTGACTACAAAACTGCCCCAGCCATACAGGTGCCATCATTATACCCGAATCCAGCCTGTCGTGCATCACAGCTTCACAACTTTCATCTGCAGCCAGCTGAGTTGCTTGATGTTCCACTGACCTTTAAATCATCGGTCGTCGCGTCTGTCCACTGCTGGATAAGGGTATCCTCACACTGTGTGGGTTACGGGGGGGGTTATTTGACCACACTTCATGCTGATAAATGCGGGTTTACTGAAGGCAAGGGGCACAGACATTGGAGTATAAAAGTACAGAATGACAATTTATTTTTTCGCACTGCCCTCTGCTGCCTACGTTAGAGTGAAATAGTATTTTTAAAAATATATATTGGAATTGTTTTTAATATTAAGCCAGAAATATGTATGAGTAGAATAGGAGCGGGTGGCCAATTGATGTCATGATGTAATTTGTTAATCCAGGAAACTTTGATTGAGTAGCAAGGAGAGTCTTGGAGATGGTGACATTTAAGCAATCACTTTCAAAAGGCATTTGCTTTCTACCCAACATCTGATAATACAATTATTATATGTCAACTAGCTTCAGATCTCCCAGCATTGTCAAGGTACCACACTGTAAAATCTGGTCTCTTTCAATCAGTTTGGACAGTCTTCTTTCTGTATCTTAGAAGGACTATTGCCTAAATCTGATGTACTATCAGGACATTTATTAGTTATGAGGCATTGTGATTGACAAAGATGGTTTGATTTATTTTGGCGTTGGCTCATTTTGAGATGTTCTCTAAACCTCACGCCCATATCTCCCTTGCATAACATTTCATCGTCATCATCAACCATCATAAATCTAGCGTTGGATGAAGGCCTGCCAAAGCTGTCGCCATCTCTCACAATTCCACATGCAACAATCCACCTCGCACTTACACGTGAGCAGATTCCATAATTCGATCTCTGCGGCGGACAACCGCTCTTGACGCACTTCCTCCCTATGGGGCACCAGGGTGGTGAGATGTTAACGACATTACCTGGTATGCAGGAGGTCGCGGGTTCGATCCCGACCATGACGCCTATATATTTGGAGTGTGCATGTGCTATCATGTATGGGCAATGTCGCTTCTGAAAAAGAGCTTTTTAGTTCAGTGGACCTTAACTGAATAAATACATATCTATGAATGCTGTTTTTCACTTACTCTTTGGTTCTTTCGGTAAAATCACGTAGGTATAATATAAAATAATTTACGACGTTTCGGGCGCAACAGAAGTGTCCGTCATCACATGAGCACATTCCATAATTCGATAACGGATGCTTGTGTTGCGCCCGAAACGTCGTGATTTATTTTATTTTATACCTACGTGACTTTACTGAAAGAACCAAAGAGTATGGATTTCCTGCAGTCACAAAAGATTCAAATCATGACTGTTTCTCACTTGCTGAAAGGGACAGATGAGGAATTTGCCTCTGCACCCGTTTGCCTGCTCACTCGATCCTTTAATACCCCCCACACAACCCCACCGCCGATCCTCGCCGGTCCAGGAGCTCCCGGTGCAGTCGGCCATCACGGAGCCTGTGGATGGCACGGAGCTGACGGAGAATGCGGATGAGGTGACGGTGCGCGGATATGCATGGAGCGGCGGCGGGCGCAGCGTGGTGCGTGTGGACGTGTCGCTGGACGGCGGACGCACGTGGCAGACGGCGGAGGCTGCTGCCGCCCTCCAACGACTCGGGACCGCAGGACGAGGGTCGCGCGTGGGCCTGGAAGCTGTGGAGCCTGACGGCACCCATCCCGAACGGGCAGCGCAACCTGGAGATCGTCTGCAAGGCGGTGGACAGCACTTACAATGTGCAGCCCGACTCATTTGCACCCATCTGGAACCTGCGTGGCGTGCTGGCCACCGCTTGGCACAGGGTTAATGTCAAGGTGCCGAGTAACGAGAAGAAATGAGGTACCCCCCAGACAAGGGTATCTGCGCTTGGCTTTCATTCAATAAAAAGTCAACGTTTTCTTCCTTGCTCATGCGAGTAGGGGGACGGGCTTGTCTCCACTGGCAGTCCTTGTGAGGCAGTGGTGGAAATTCCATATTCTTATGGTAGGGGTCATTTCCTCCATAGGATAGTCACTGTTGATTTCCATATAGTGATGCTCATTGCAAGCTGCAAACAAGGTGTGTGTGACAAAAGGAAAGTATGAATGAGTTACTCATAGAGCTATAGCTTTGTTAGGGATATTGGCTTTTGTTCCCCTTTAATAAGGTGCAGATGAATAAGCTCATTAAGCTATGCTTGAAATTCCTAAAATCAGTTGCAACGCACAGTGCAGAGCCTGGTTCTTTAAATTTGTGCAAATGATAAACCACGCATAATTGTTTTTTGTTACACTTTAGTGTGAACGATTATATATAGTGTGAATGATTGGTATTTAAGTGTTTACACCAAACAAGCTAATCATGTTTAGTCAATTATCTACTGATTTAAGTAAATAGCAAAGAACACCTCAATGGATGTGCTAGGATCGCTCTTAAATTACAACTAGGATTTATATAGCATCCAAATTCAGCCACATCGCGACACACATTTCAGGATGCTGTAAGCATTTAAATACATTTGATTCATAAGGTGCAATAGAAAATAATTATCACAAAAATAATGTAATGTAAATGTAACATATATTTACGCGATCTAACCCAAAAAAAATCTCTTAAGGATATTGGTCGCGAAAGCCAACGTGTTAAAAATATTGATGTATTATACATGTATTCTTTTTTCACAACCTACAATTCTGGCATTCCATTGGCAATCTTAAGGTGTATACTTCTGATCAAATACACATTGGCCTCTTGTTATTTCCATTTAACCCAATTTCCATTTTCTTAAAAACTCGTTAATTGTTATAGAGTAAAGTGTGGTTATCTTTTCACCTCTTGTGGCCTATCTACTGTCTATAAATAAAATATATTCATTCAAAGAAGCAGACCTGCTAATAGCATTGCAGTTACGTGCCTGACTGTGTATTGCAGCTTGGTAAACACTTTGGCGCAGTGTAAGCAGTCAAGACGTAGTCCATTAATGTACCACAGCTTAAATATTGATTTGAGCGTTCTTATAAATAGATACTGCCTACATTTTAAGATGATCAAATTTGGTTCAATTGACCTGGCATACATTGACCCACACGTGCAAAGATATTGAACGTCTACAAACATGACGGCAGGAACTTCATGAGCAGCCTTATCACAAGAATGTAATGAGCATTGAATTTTCACAGCCATGCAATTAATGTTGCATCAGTGATAACAATGAGACATTCTACCCACGAAAGTGTTTTTAGGTTGTACGTTCGGTGCGTGTTGTAGGTAGTCAAGTGTCATTGTCCATGTTGGAGGAGGGCATGGCAAAGAATGCCAATTGAGGTTTGCCAACCTCTGTCAGTGTTGATGAATGTCAAATTCCAACCTTGAATGCCTTGATAATTTGACTCAAACGCGATCTTTCATATAAACCCCCTCCTAATCCTCGACACCTCTCCCCCATTTCTCCGTGTACATCTCTTAACTCTTTGATACTATTTTATTCCGGGGATCTTAGGAATGTTCCTTCCTCGGGAATCGTGGCAGAGCAGGTGTATTGAGTGTTGTATTTGCGTTGGAGGAAACCAGAGTGTGAGAAGATCCATGCAAAATAAAGGGACAACAGATACGTCATCAACCTGTCTTAATACAGTACGTGTGCTAATATAGCAAAGCGTTGTAGCTAAATCTGCAGCGAATGATGAAATGTGACTCGCGGAAGTAATTATTCGCAGTGTTTTTTTTCTGGTATGTAGTTTGTGTTGTCTGCTGTGTAGTCTGACATAGTGAATGTGCATTTAAGGGCGTGTTTAATACACTTAATATTTTTACGGATAATGCCGATATGGACACATTTCTTTAGTCCTTTGCCAGACTTTCGAATACGTGTGATATAGTATATTGAACATTTAATCAGTTTAGATCAACTAATGTTAAATACTCAAATTGATTATCCCCGGATCACGAGAGATGGGGATTGCATGTGGGGGTCTTTATATAGCAATGGATAGAGAGTGGCTAATGATGATGAAGATGACGAAACATTTACTGGAAAGGCTGAAGCCTATTCATTTTTTCAATCATGATTATGAAGAGATGAATAATAATGCATATCAATCAATCTTAATTTTATGTGCCAATATCGCCCTTCAGTAAAGTTGGCATCAGTGCACATTACAGCGGAACGGGAACGGTACGGGGGCATAGAGCAGCAGGAATGAAAAAAAAGAAACCCGTCGTGACCGCAGCGGCTAACATTGACTGAGCAAAGTTAATTGCAACCGCGCGCAAAATAAAGTGCAATCGTGCACAACGAATAGCATATGATAATGATAACATGGAGGTGATAAGTATGATGTTTAGCTACTACTTTTGGCACATTTCCGCCGATGCCGTCACAGCAGCAAGGTGCAGCACATAACACATACACCACACCTCTTCCGCATCTTCCTATTGTTTTATTGTGCTAAGAGGAAGTACCTGGAATTACCTGCCAGCAAGTGAGAAACTCTTCCTATTCTCGGAAAATTATCAATAAAGAGGCCTCCTGTGGCAGGTTCATCTGTTCTGCGACGGTCTGAGGGTGAAATGTCATATTGCAGATGATTAATGCTGCTGCTGCTGTCTGACTCGGCCCGATCACACATGCTAAATACTTATATTTGCTATTTACTTTTTGTGGATAAAATGATTTATTTTCTCAGATAACAGGATGAGAAATCATCTTGTCCACAAGGTGTTTTTTCTGTAAGCAGCACACTCGTTCTTTATGCATAAGGAATTTCAGTGTAACCTAAAGGGTATGTTAATGTGTAAGCTATAGACGTTAAGGCTGTATGGGGGATCTTTGTTTTCAAATGTTTAATGTGCACAAACTAATATACTTATTACAACTCTTGGCGAACGCTAACCGATTCTAATACCTGTTGATTTTACGGAATTATATTTTGCAACTATATTAGAAGCGGTACATCGGTTTATTGACATTTCATTGTCATCAGTGTGTGTATACATTTTTGTTATAATTTAGTGCCACCAATAATATGAACACCAGGCCAGTGTTGTAGAAGAAAAGCTATTGAATTGCTGTGGCTCGGTAATTACTGTCCAGCTTGCCACATCGTAGACTATTGAGGTATATTATATTTAATTTAACTCTGCAAACAAAACATTTACTTCACAGCAAACCTGCACAATGAAGCAACGTAACATGTTTTGCGTATAAAGCACAGCGTACAGATTATAAATTAAAATTTTGTTGAAAAAATGAATTATTGATTAAGCTCCATGATATGCCTTTCACACGCTTATTTTGGAAATAAAATGGAAAGAAATCTAGGGCTTGTTTTAATAATGACTTGTTATCTTTGTGTTGAGTGTGGATGTTGAATGCATTCAGATACCCCCCCCCCCCCCCCGTGCAAACAGAAATCTGCACGCATTTTGTACAATCAAAACTATATTTTTTTGTTCTACGGTTTATTTCTGTCACTTTAAATCGATATACACATATAACAATGAGTTCAGTGTGTTGGAATCCAATTTTATATCAAATATATGATATATAAAATGATTTGAATTTCCAGAGCCTACATTTTACTTTAAAACGATGCAGAGCACACTATTGTATTGATCGTAGTATTATGCACTGCTCTGTAAAATGCTTAGTTGGGCATCTTATACTATAACTCATTCGGGAGTGAATGGTTCAATTATAATTTGATGTAAATGTAATATCTTCAATAATGGCGGGAGACGAGTTGACGGGGCAGCACTTATTTATTCACAATGGTTGCACAATGACAGGCACAACCGAGATAACGCCAATGCTACGCGTGCCTGGCTCGGCCACGCACACAGTCTCTCCCGTAGGGTACGCGTGCCTAACTCTGTCTTGCACTCAGGCTCTCCGGCTACGCTCTCCCCACGGGAAGCTATCAGACCCCTACGCGCGCCTAACTCGGCCACGCACTTACTCTCGCCCGTAGGGTACGCGTGCCTAACTCTGCCTTGCACGCAGGCTCTCGGCTACGCTCTCCCCACGGGAAGCTATCAGACCCGCCTTGCCAGGCCACGGGTCTCGGCCACTGAGTTACACAGCCCGGCCCTTACAAGGGCGTCGGGCCGTGAATCCCAAGGCCTCGCCTCTGAGCCTCACAGAGCCCCAGCCCTTACAAGGGCAGCGGGGCTAGGGGTCCCAGGGCCTATCTCTTCCTCCATCTTCTGTCTTTGCCGGTTACCAACTCCCCGAGTGCCTCCGCGCATCGCCTTACATAGCCCTCCGCTCCAGGGGGCGGGGCCTATGCGGACCGCGATGTGGGCACCCGCCTGCGGACCGTGATGTAGCCACCCACCCCGCGCTGTCTCATGATCCTCCCTGCCAGCACGTATCACCACTACATAAACACTAATATAATCGCGCGGAAGCATACTCTATGAAGATGGATGTCTTAAAAGCTATGAAAGCAATTACTGAATCTGCTGCATGCTACTCGATAGGGTCTTCGGATATTTTAAGTTATAAAATTGCGACGTCATTGACCTTATAATTGACATGTTAATTTAAAAAGAACACTAGCGCTACAAGCTCCCTGTATTTTTTAGTATTGGCTTGTTATATTCGGTTGTTTTAGCTTGTACTTGCATGTATTTTTGTTAGTTGTATGGGTTGTGAATATGATATATAGTGACGTATTTGCAACAATTAAAGCCCTTGGATGGTTGGGGCTTGCGATTGTAGATGCTGTGTGGATGCATGCAAGCCATATAGTGTAACTTCATTGGATAACACCGTGCATAATTACATACAATGGGTTGTTTTTTAGTTTCTAACAAATCGCTGCTCAGTGCTGGCCCCTATTTTGGGCCTCGAGAACCATGCAGGAGCAGCCGCACTCGATCTGGCGTGCCTTCTGCTTCTGTCCCAAAATGCACAACGACCGAGATGAAAGGGAACCCATCATGTGGTAAGAGACTTCAGAAATAACCATCAGCTCAGGGGGGGGGGGGGGGGGTTAATGAGGTTTGCATAGAGATTACAGACAGATTAAGCGGCTGGTTTGGAGTGTTGTGAGGCAAGGGAGAGGACAGAATGAACGATGATGGCCTGGGTGGGCTCCATTTGCTGTCCCTGCTGCTTTCCGAGCTCTGCACGTTTAGGAGACCTGGAGACCAGCGAGAAGAAGTCGCTCATTCGGTGAACAATTTCTGCTTTTTGCCGGATTTGTATTGTTAACCCGTGGTTGTGCTTAAATGAGAGGGCATGTTCTAATGAATGTACGGCATTGCTTGGATATCGTGTTGAATGTTAACAGCCGTGTTGTGCAACGTGCGGAGAGAACCCGTGTGTACACGTGTGCACACATACTATAGATTTTACTCTGCACATTGTAGACATACATTATACTCCGTGTGCTTGCATAGCTATTGTCAGCTTTATTTTAGCTTGTGGAACAATTACAATTCACTTCTCAATCGTGAAAGTTGTAAACGACGCCTATCACATGTCTTTCCTGATTCGGCAGTAAAATAAAAAGTATAATTTTACTGTCATTTCATAAAAGTAATCGAGTACATAGAATGTAACAGTTATGAAAAGTTTTGACGAGTGTTTTTTGACGGATGATAAATATACTGTAACTGTTCGCGGTTATAACGAATTACATGCAGATGCATTTAGTGTATGACAAATATGAAAACCTCTCCGAATCGAGATGTCAGATGAATACCTGTTGCAATGAGCGCGACCCTTCAATCGGCTATCTACCTGTGGTTCCCTACATGTGGTTCTGTCCAATACTGTGGGAAGTGATCTTAGGAACTGTTGCAAATACTAATTTTTCACTGGTCATTGGACAACTCTTTGCTGTATAAGAAGCACAGCCATAGAAAAAGTAGGGTAATCGTTGTCGATGGCTTTTTGATTGGGAAACACTGCTCCAAATATTTCCATCAGACAACAAATGTATGGGGAAAACTGTAATTCTACACATTTGTTCACTTAATTTTATTTAGTTGGTTTCTACTTATATTAATTCGGAACACATTTTCAGCTTTGAATTTGCATTGCATACCTCTACGAATTACGTTTATGTAGCCAGCTTGTCGCTGCTATTGTGGGTTACTTAATTATTGCCGTGAATTATGATACTTCGTTTTGTTGGGTTGTGGTTTATAGATGGCAGCTCATGAGAGTGGTGAGGCATATGAAGGCTTTTAAGTGTTTTCATGTGACCCAGTCACGCATTTTCTGCGCAGCCTGACTCACATTTTTGATGCTCTACTTTTGACACAGTCTGCATTCCGCCAACCAGTTTCTGCGCTAGTGCTCGCGGAGGCTCTTGTAAAAAACAAGGGAGAGCTTTGTGCTTTGCGAGAAGCTTTTTTAATCTAAAAATGCAACGTATGTGACCGTAATTATATGGCTTTTAATGAGAAATGGTGGAGGAGAGGCATGGCTCTGATAGATTGCACTTGCCATTGTACAGTAGCACTGAGCTTCTGTAAAACTGGCTTTCTCTGCCTGGTTGTAGCGTTCATTAGATCCGCTTAGTTTGAAATAAGCATGTGAGCAAAGCAACCAGAAGCCATGCAAGAGGCCGAGTGGTTCTTCCACCCCCAGCAGCATCACACCCCTTACGGACGACCTTTGTCCGCGAAGGGGCTAAACCACCGAAGAGCGGCTCTACACCAATAGAGCGAGACCAGCTGCGCTTGGCCCGCGACTGGAAAATGTTAGCTGACATTGGCCGGCAACTTGTGTTTCCTCCGGAGATCGCAACCACCACCCTAAGACCTGACGTGGTGCTCTGGTCCCGTTCGCTCAAGAAGGTCTTCATCATTGAGCTCACAGTACCCTGGGAGGACTCAGTAGATGAGGCTTATGAGCGAAAACATCTGCGCTATGCCGATCTAGCTGCCGAAGCACGGCATCATGGCTGGAACACAGAAGTCCGACCAGTGGAGGTGGGCTGCAGAGGTTTTGTGGCAACATCTACAACCAGACTGCTTAGAGACCTGGGAATTAAGGGCCAGAGCCAGCGTTCGGCAATTAAAGCTGTATCGGAGGCGGCAGAAGGCAGCAGTCAGTGGCTCTGGATGAAGAGGAAAGACCCCAGCTGGGCCCCAAAGTGAGAGGGCCAGGAGGTATGCAGTCAACAATGCTTGACTCAGGGAGGAGGACGCCCCTGCCATGCATAGTCCCATGGGATGTTGGCTACCAACAACAAGGCAACTCCTATGACTAATTGGGAATGGGACGCAAGCGTAGGATTGATCACCCTGTCGCTGGCCGCCTTTGGGGAGGGTGTATAGTATGAAAGGCCGAAACACCCTAGGAACCAAAGGGTCACTACTGACGATGCGCTCCCCAAATTTCACCAGGCTCACTGTTCATGAACTCTTGGAAGTGCTTGCACAAAGGATAGTAACATCTCATCCTGTGTTCTTTGGAATCTGTAAAACTGGCTTTCTCTGCCTGGTTGTAGCGTTCATTAGATCTGCTTAGTTTGAAATAAGCATGTGAGCAAAGCAACCAGAAGCCATGCAAGAGGCCGAGTGGTTCTTCCACTCTCGGTGGCTCATGCAGCTCAGCGCTGTGCTCAGTCAGTGCCACTGAGACACGAGGATCTATAAATCCCAGCATAGATCAGATTCCAAAGAGGTGCAATTACAATGATCTTTTATAAACCTTGTCACCGATTATAAAAAAAAAACATTTTTTAATAATCTACATCAACCTCGCATATAGAACACATTTTTGACAGTTATCTGATAAAAGGGCATGAAACTCAGTGCTCTTGGTCACCTAAGCAACAGTATAATAGTAGTAACAGTGCAAGCACATGCTTATCAGTTGTTCATTATCAGCATACAGTATTCAGCAAGCGGATTTAAAAGTCACATGCAGTGCACTTGTGACATTACCTACTATAATCATCAGAAATGTCTGTCCGTCCCGCGCGTGACGTCACTCCACATGAGGCCCACCGATCGCGTGACGTCACTCCACATGAGGCCCACCCTCCTCTCATTAATATTCATGCCCGCGTGGAAATTTACACTAAAGCACAAGGTCGCGCACTTCACATGCTGCACCCCTCCACAATAACCACGAGGGGGTGACGTCACTTTATATGCCGCACCCCTCCCCAATAACCATTAGCGGGTGCCGTCACTCCACATGGGGCCCACCCTCATTAATAATAATGAGCTGAACAATTTTTCTCTTGAATATTTCAGATTTACTGCAATATACACCCGTCCTTGGACGGGCAAACAAGCTCGTATAATTATAATCTCCCCAATTGTGTGGCACGTTAAAGTGCATGCCATGCCTCCAGAGAGTTCACATATAGCTCATCCAACCCTCGGGCATATGCATTCTTAAAATATCAACACGAAAACAACGATGCCTTTAAGATTCCTTTCACAAGTGTATTTGTTATGTTTTGCTTTGAAATTGCAAGAGTTACGACAGTTAGGCAGTTTGCGTACGTAACATATCGCAATCTTTTTCACATTCCCAGGTTTACATTTTGATTTAAAGCTTTCGTGACTGCAGGGATTCATATTCTTGGTTCTTTCAGTAAAGTCACATAGAAGGGAAAGAATAAAATAAAATATATATTCCCAGGTTTGGTACCCGCAAATGTATAATCCAGGTCTCCACAAACACACATCGGTGTTTATTAGGTGCTTGGGAATAATTAGGGAAATCTCCATAGGGGTCCATGTCAAGTGGCCGTGTTTAGATTGTTGTCCTCCTGCACCTCCGATTAGCGGGGTTGGCTACGTACGGTGCGAAGAAAGTTCAACATACATAGCTAAGGGGGCTGTCAATAATGTTTTATTTGGGGGGGGGGGGTGCACATATTATTGCTCGCCCTTTACACGTGCAATAGTTGCGAGGACAACTGTTCCCCTTTTCTCCGTGTCGCTGCACATCTGAGACCACATTTTGCTTTTTAATAGACCTGGACCTTAACTCCAGTGGCGGCTACTGCAAAATCTCTCAGGGGGGGCAAATGTCTGGATGATTGATAAGGATAAGGTCCACCCATGCAATGGATAAATTAACAGCTTAAGCATGTAAAGGCAACTTCACTTCTTTAATATTAATGAAAAATAAAGTGACTCTTACAATACATCTTGTTTGTTTCTATACTCACTATTATTACAACCCACTCAGTTTCTTTTATTAAAGATTCCACTAGGTGGCGACAAATAATATTGTTGACTGAAACGTGCTTACGTATGATGACGTAAGCACGTTAGTGCGAGCCCTCCCGGAAGCCATAGAGAATGCATTTCAGCGCCCGCCGTTCGAAAAAAATCATCTTTGAGTGTAAGTCTATGGGACCACTCGGGGCGATTCTCAGCCGGAGTGAAATCGCCCAAAAAGAGGCGGTACTCCACAGAACGTGACATGACGCTGATTGGACTATATCCAGAGGCACAGTAACGGCTCGCGTAACTCTGTGGTTGAATGAGATTGGGGGTGCGTCGCCCATTCGCCCTAATGAAGAAACCGCCCTGCCTAACTCCGAATGGGTTCTTACTGCACGCATTCGCAGATTGCGCGGTGTTTTATTTTCCACTTCAAAAACATTCAGAAAGCACCACGGGGTGCGCTTAGAAATCTGCACGGATCTCGGAGTGGAGGTTGCGAGGAAGGTGGCGTGGTGGTGGGCAGGGCGCGCACGCACCGGGGCTGTTCCCAGACTCCGCGCGTCTGGATCCCCCCCCCCCCCCCCCACGGCTCCATCTCGCTGCACGTGGGATTCTGCACAACCGCGGGTTGAACGGCTGTGGTCGAGGAGCCGTCGAGTTCGGGAAACAATGCCACCTTGCTCCCTCCCCCACGTACGCAACAAAGGGCCGCGGAAGAGCTGGCTGCCTCGCTTCTCCCTCGTTCATCTCAGTAACGTTTCGGTTTACGAAAAAACGATGCCCGAACAAGATTTGAAGTCTCCATTGTCTGCCCTAGCCATTGAAAACGAATTTCTTTAGAACCGCTTTTTGTGTTTAGTTTGTTGTCCTTTCCCGAGTACCTCCGATTAGCACGATTGGCTACGTACGGTGCGAAAGAAGTTCGACGTACATTGTCTATTTTTTATATTTAAGTGAGATCGACGCAAGCAAAAGGTAAACTAAAAACTTTTAGGGATACACGAAAGAGAAGCGAGGCAGCCCTTCGTGGTCCATCATTGATTTAGGGAGCACGTGGCATTATTTCCCCGTCTGCTCCTCTGCTGAACTTGCACTCCGTACTGTGGGTATCGCAGTGCAATTCAGTAACATCCTAGGATTAAGTGTGCGGATGCCGTAAACCGCACTTACCCGACACCGTCACTTTGGTGTTTCTGACGAACTAGCAGCCTGTATTGGTGAGAGTACTCATGCACAGTTTTATATTGCATCGTTATACAGTACTGTATTTCATTCCTTGTTTTTGAGTTTTGTATGTGCGTTAGTGAGAAGGTAGGAGTGAGAATACTGTGTCTGGGGCAGCCGAAGGGGTCTGGAACACAGTGCCCCTTGTACTCTGTACACCTCGATTTACTCTGCACGGATTCGCTCAGAACGCAACCCCCGTGCAGAGCGAGGCAGGGTCCCGTGGATTGTAAAGCATGACCCACTCGTGTTTGACATTTACCCGAGCTCACGATAGAAATAGTCAAATATAATTTTGTGTGTGTGACGATTGATTATAGACGCAAGCGGCATGATGTTACATGAAGGCGAATGGTGTGAAAGCCAAACTGTATAAAACATCATGTATTAAACAGTTTAAAACATGAAAGTGAGTACGACTCGAAACATTAGGCTAAAGTAATATATTAGTTAGTCGAGTTGTGACGAGTCATGGCAATTCACGACAATTTAATAATTGCTTTGGTGAATTGTTACATGTCTATTGTTCACACAATACCACGTATTTTGTAACTACAATTCTGCTGAAACTGGGTATATATTATAGCGCAACACACATTAACACTTGGTCCATGTGTGTTAGCATAATTCTACTACTTGTACGGTGTTATTATGCCGCAAGCTTAATTTTGTATTTACCAACATCACTGGTTTGTCAAGAAACTTGAGCCCGAGGATAACTTTCTGCTTGTGTATTAAATCTAGACCTAATGAAATGTCCTCGGATGGATTTATTGAATGCCGAGTTTGTTCCTGAATACGTTTAGAGCCCAATGCTCTGACCGAATAGTGCTTTCTTGTCTGTAGCCGCGTGAGACGCAAACAAAAACTGTAACACCCCAGAGGCAATTTTTGTTGTGCCATGTCATATCGAATCCAGATTGAACTTCACCAAAGTGCCGTGCACATTTTGACTAAGAAAACCATTGACCATTAAGAACGTGGATACTCCATGTAATGGAACACTTTGACGAGCGAATACATTTAACATCATGGCAAACACGAAAGGTATTTTCAACATCCAGGCTGAAGACCTCATAGTTGAGGTGACACAGGTTCACTTAACAATTGTGTTTATTGCATGGATTTAACCGTTTTATGAGAGTGGTGTTCGCAGGTTGACTGCAGTAGTGCCATTATGTACAGTATCGGGGTTTCTTTATCTGCCTTCCGTTAAACGTCTAGAGCTATCACCCTGCTCAGAATCGACTGTACACACTTAGCAAATGTTAACTTTACATTGACAATGAAAGACAACTTGAAAAGAAATAAATGACAACAATGAGAATTTTATTCCATGAGGCACAAATATTCAACTGCCGTAGTGTAATGGTTCTCACGCAGCACTTTTAAGCCAGAGGTCACCGGTTCCACTCCATCTCCTGGGGAGGTTAATTGGAAAAAAATGGGGAATTTTTTTTAAATACTCCTGTCTCTAGAGCACGGTACACGCACAGTCGATTAGCAGCATGTGGTGGGGTAAAGGACACCCGCCTCGTAGTCCTGACAAACATAAATACTACACACAACCAGCTCGAGTTACAATTAATACCGCATCGCGCGCTTTCGGATGCGATCGTGTGGCCATCTGGAACGGTCTGCATTCCGATACTTATTAGGAAGCTACTGGAGCTATGCTCTTGTAAATCTCGATTGAACAGTCATTGCTTTCGAACTAATTTTTGTGTTTAGTTCGTTGTCCTTTCCCCGCACCTCCAATAGGGAATTTGGCTATGTATGGTGCGAAAGAAGTTCTACATACACAACCAGCTCTAGTTAATACGCTATTTTATAGTCCAATGCTTTAACTGAATACTTGTTCTCTTGTAGCAGCATGGGACTCAAACGAAACGGTTTAACTTTGAATTTACTCATCTTGCCCTTGCCCAGGGGTCGTCAACCTGCAGCTCCGGAGCCGCATGCGCCTCTTGGAAATTCGAAAATGGCTCTTCTTGTTATTTTGGTTGCCAACCCCTGACCATGGAAGTCCAGTTTACCATGGAAGTCCAGTTTACCATGGAAGTCCAGTTCATCATGGAAGTCCAGTTCACCATGGAAGTCCAGTTTACTGTGGAAGTCCAGTTCACCATGGAAGTCCAGTTCACCATGGAAGTCCAGTTTACTATGGAAGTGCAGTTCACCATGAAAGTCCAGTTTACTATGGAAGTGCAGTTCACCATGGAAGTCCAGTTTGCTATGGAAGTCCAGTTCACCATGGAAGTCCAGTTTACTGTGGAAGTCCAGTTCACCATGGAAGTCCAGTTCACCATGGAAGTCCAGTTTACCAAGGAAGTCCAGTTCACCATGGAAGTCCAGTTCACCATGGAAGTCCAGTTTACTATGGAAGTCCAGTTCACCATGAAAGTCCAGTTTACTATGGAAGTGCAGTTCACCATGGAAGTCCAATTTACTATGGAAGTCCAGTTCACCATGGAAGTCCAGTTCACCATGTGCATGCGGCTCATTTCGGGCTGTTTCGTGATGTTATTTGACCACCGTCTCGTATTCACATCGCATTGCGGCTCTCGAAAAAAAATGGTCCTCCTTGTTGCTGCCCCTTCCCCATGCATGCAGGTCCCAGGCGGGCGTATACTACGACCGTGCGATGGACACATCATTTGAGCAGACGGAGAATCTGAGCAGTTGCTCGAGCGCCGCGTCTGGCTCGGAGACGCTGCCTCTGCTCGGCGACAGAGGGGACGACGAGACGGCGGATTCGGACGGAGCGCTCCTCGAGAACACGAACCTCGAGCTTGTATGTACACGCGCCTCCTCGTGGTCACAGTCGATCATCGATTAATCCGGCGGCTTCGGGCTTCGGGAGGGGAAGAGGCGCCCGATTTTAAAAAACGCCGGATAATTATCAATCACATAATTTGAAATAGATTTTTTGCACATTATTGCTTAACATTATGGTTTAGGTGTTGTTTTTTTTCTCTCTTTTAAACGTGCTTGCAATATGAAATTTCCATGAATAAACGTACAAAGGCAAACATATCATACTGTAAAAAGTTACAGAATTTACTATACCGTTCTTACCACTAATCTCGAAGACGCAGCATGGGTTGATGTACGTAGTACGACGCACTTGTTTAATCACAACCACGTGTTTGACGATCGCCGGATAATGTTGGACCCCGGATAATCGATGATCAATTTTATTTCATTCATCATCATCACCAGTGGTTCTCAACCTGTTTTGGCTACTGCTACCCCTCTCGTAAAAAATTTGTTTCAACAGAGTTATCCGCCTTACCTGACCCAACATGGTTCTGAGAATTAAATGTATGAATAAATTAATAGCAATATTTTAACCAATTGTCCATTGTGTAAGGTATCCTAACTCGCTAGTAACTGCAAGCGTATAACATTTTTCAACGAACGCTCTGTGCATGCATGAGCATGCATGACATCATTTGCATCGGCAGATTCATGTATGATTATTCACCAATGCTTCTCACGTATCACATGAATTCACAAGTTTATAAATCACTTCACGTAACCCCCTGGAACATCACCACCGTGTACCACCAGAGGACCGTGATCATCACGATCTATGGGCAGGTAACCCCCAAGGTGTCCACTGTACATCTCGTAATTTGTTTCCACTTTCCTCTGTCTTGTGCCAATATTCTCAAGGGGCCGTCCATAAATGACGTCACGCACCTGGGGGGGGGGGGGGTTAGACATTTGTGACGATGTGTGACGAGGGGCGGAGGGGGGGTTTGAGAAATATGACGTCACATCAAAATGCGCAACTTTAAATATAGACAACACGTTCTATGTAATTAAATAGACTTTTTGATAAATGTTTTTTCCTACAACATCAGAGTGCAGCAGCACATTACATACGCACTACAATGACAATAGTTTAAAGCGATTTGAAGCATGTTTTATTTGGGGGGGGGGGGGCAGAGCTTTGTGACCTCATATTTGAGGGGGGGTCTGACTTTTTGTGACGCCGTGTGACGAGGGGAGGAGGGGGAGTTAAAAATTGTCCAAAATCGTGTGACGTCATTTATGGACGGCCCCCAAGTAGTGCCACGTCTTTTAAGCATCAATCTCTTATGTCGTCAAGCTTTTCTCGATTGGGTCTTCGTGTATTTCCGGTTCCTTCCATTTTTCCGAACAACACACTTTCATACACCTGTAATGCGGGCGTAAATGGGCGGGGCGGATATGACGATCCGAGAGGGAGGAGTCAGGGTGACGTGGGGGAGAAGTTATAGCGGGGAGACAGGAAGCTATCTGGGTCAGTCGGGGGAGTGAAGGGTGGTGAACACGTTGGGTGGTCGCTGTGCCTCAGCCTGGTGGCTGAGGGGCTCATGACGGCGCCAGCCAGCGGGGTGGAAGAGAGAGTGGAGGATTGAGGTTGGAGATGGCGAGATAGCCACAGAGGCCACGAAGGGCTGAGGTAGGAAGTGGCGGGATAGCCACAGAGGCCACGAAGGGCTGAGGTAGGAAGTGGCGAGATAGCCACAGAGGCCACGAAGGGCTGAGGTAGGAAATGGCGAGATAGCCATAGAGGCCACGAAGGGCTGACGTTGGGAGGTGGCGAGATCGCCACGCACGGAGGAACAGGGAGCAGCGATGGAGCTGCTGTGGGGGCAGCCGGAGGGCTGCACCAAGAGCCTGCAGCGGAGCTGCAGGAGCGTGGAAGGCTACGGGAGCGAAGGCAGATGTGGGGCTGCCAGGGGGAGAGTCTCAGGAGGAGTGCCGTGTGGGAAGGAGAACGCGAACCCCAAATAAAGGACACGGAGTCAGAGAGAAGTGTCTGAGTCCTTTTATTACACACCTGCTGCTTAAAGATTGTGTCAAAATAATTTGGTCTATGCAGACATGACCCAACATTCGATCATGCAAATTTAATCCATCGGCATTGGGGCAGTGCTCATATCCATCATTCACACAGTCGCGAAAGCCGACGTGTTAAACTGACGCAGCCATTTGTGGACACTCCACATTTTTATGGCAGCTTAGTCCGTCCTTTAGGAAAATCAAATTGTGATTTTTCACCTTTTGTATCACCTTGCAGGGGTGATGTATGATTCAGCATTTTCTTTTTTTCAGGATTTAATTTGAATGTTCAATGCTAGTCTAACTGATTCATTAAAAAAATGCATAAAGATTAAAGGCACAGGGACAATGAAATATACCAGTCAATCATAAAACATAAGTAAATTGATGCGTCGTCTTTCACTGCAGCTTTGCGGACTCGTCACGCGCTTTGCTTTGTGTATTGCAGGCGTGGCAGATGCTTCAATATGGAAAAGAGCCAGACGACGAGACTCACAAAGAAGTTCAGTGGCGATGGAAGATGATTCTGTCCAAATTAGGTTATTGCCCTTTAATTGTCACAACCTCAGAATGATATTGCTTCTTTATAATAGATTCATTATTGCATTCGTGTTGTACCGGTGGTACTAGTTTGGCAGGCTGAAGCTTTGCAATATCATTGGCAAAATACCGTTGATGCAATGTATAGGGTGGGCCAGATGTCTTGTGACCCCAAATTGATTGACCCCTAAAATGTTTTTCGTTTGCGTAATAATTTATGTTTAAAATAAACCGTTTTTAATATTACGTTTTATAGAATTAAATAGGAGTCCCAAGACATCTGGACCACCTTGTTTATTGTAAATCAGCGCCACTATGTGGCTGTCCTATAAAAAGACCAGTGCCAGATGTCTTGTGACCCCCATTACATTTTTTAAAATCTTTATATGTTTGTATACCAACGGTTCTGTTATGCAGTGTAATATTTTTTTAAACGTGTAATAACCGTATTAAATATCATAATTGTTGTTAATACATAGGCGCAGTTTGACTTCTATATTTGGGGGTGGGGGGCGGCAGGGGTTCGGTTGACCCTCACATTAGGTAGGAATCGTGGGTGCACGCAATTAATGTATTTATTTATTTATTATCTTTATTTGTAAACTACTGAAAATAAATTAATAAAGGTGCCCAGTTGTTTTTTTTGGGGGGGGGCTTAGCCCGCCCCGTGCCCCCCTACATTTCTAAATGTTAGCAATGTCCTTATTAAGGGTCCAGTAAGTTTGTATGAGAGCCGGCATTTTATTTGCACAGGATGATTCGATGCCATGTCCTATGATAAATTTGACAACGTTGCCGGGTCCACTTGAGCAAATGTATTCAAATGAATAAGCAAATGGAAAAAAAAATGTTCGGGGACAATTCATTGTGGGTCACAAGCCATCTGGACCACTCTGTAGAGAGACATTACTATCGTAATACAATGGTTTAATCAGATGTTCAAATCCATCATTTTAGCACCTGAAGTCGTGGTTTTAAAAGCACGTACTTCCACAAATGGTATGCTTGATCAAACAAAACATCGAATATCCAGTGATAACATACGTTACTACTGATTACAGAATTGTATCGTGGCTGCAGTATATAAGGTAGCGCCAATAACTTTCAGTTAATTACACACAAAATAAGAAGAATGGATTTGGCCAACTTGATCTTGCCAAGGTGTTGAGGGCTTCTTAAAGCAATGGTAGATTGGCAAGTACTCACCTGCACAGCAGAAGTTATGCCATATACTTTGGTGAGTAGTTCTTTGGTTTTCTTACACGGTCATTTCCCCAGCACAATGTGATTATTTTCCATCAATGTGGGTTCACTGATGTATGATAACTTCTCTTAGTGCCTTAATTTAATCGCATATGAACGAACGGAAAGTACGGAATAGTAAAATAATAATCACATTACCGCAGTAGTGACAATGCAATCTCATCTTTATCCAGGAATACCTGAAGCCAATTTCAGAAGCGTCCTACTTTTCGATGTTTGGCCATCCCCTTATTAAGGAGTGGTCTGCGTGGAGCAAGAAACTGCAGTACAGTAACAAAGAGAAATCGCACATGTGTGGAGGGTATACCACTGAATAACAAGTTAACACACATAGGTGTGTTCATTACATTTGCTGCACTGCCATCTCATGGCCACCGCGTGGCCAACTTAGGGTGGATTCTCAGCTCGCGAGGAAAACTGCGCGATCCACCAAGCACCAACCCTGCCTCCGAAGGCGCAGCGTTGCGGACATGCGATACCGCATGTGTTTTGCATGCATTTCTCATTACATTGCCAGAAAAGCACCAGGATAGCTGTATATTCAAATGGCTACGGTGTTTGCTACTTATTATAATCAGCTCAGGGGGTGCGGCAATCGGTGAGGTGGGTCACCACCGGTATTTGATTTGTCTCGCGCGGTCGCATCTCGGGTATAGATCGCAGCTCCTCTTGGCCTAATCCCATCATTACGCGCATGGCCTCGAGCTGTCGTGCCTGGACAATGCAGCTACCGCAGCATCTCCGTATAGTACCTCTTTGCGGTATGAAGTTACTGCTCTAATTAAATTAACACAAAACGTCGTGGAACGTAAATGAAATAATTTGCGTAAAATTACATTTAAACCGCGTTTTAAATCAGTTTTTGTCCTTTTACACCGTTGAAAGTATATCTCATGGTGGTTGTCAAGGGGGCCCCAACTCGTAGCTTTGGTCAGCAGGGGGGCGCGGGGCAAGGCACCCCCTGCCCAACGCGGGTTACGCTAGTGGCTTGCAATGCTTATAACAGTAATGTGAAACGGCTCAGTCGAGAAGACGGTGCCAAGAAGGCTCACGAACTTCCACTTTCAGAAGCTAAGCCTTGGCCATGCTATTTTTTGTTAAATGTTCATACTTATTATCACGCTTCTTTACCCAGAAAAGCCTCACTCAGTCTCAATATTTTTTTCAGGAGGTTGTTGCGGTATGGGGTAATGATTCCAAATGCTGTGTAGATTCCAATTGAGTATTTTGCAGGTCATATATCAAATTTGTAAAATTTTGACCATACCCCAAACGACGTCACAGGATCTGTTCAAGTCCACCGCGAAGCAGGAGGACTTCTCCACAATTCTGGCAAATCGCCTGATCAAGCTGGTTATAATCACCAGTGGAACGTCATACTCAAATTGTAAATGTTGTGATTTACTTTCAAACACACTGGTGTGTTGAATTAGCAACTAATTGGCGCGTTTTGTTTACGTGATGAACCTTGCTGGTTGGCTCTGTCGTATGGTTGTGGGATAACAACACATTTATATTTACCAGATCTAACCAAAAACAACCTTTATTATGGCGCGTAGTAAGTTTTTTTTTACGGTAAATACACCCGCAGCATTTATTTGGGCAGCCGCTTAAAAACTAACCGTGAACCTCTGCAACGAGCGACGTCACTGGATTGCCGTGAGTTTTCTTCCCGGTCCGGTGTGGGATTGTGCTCCGTGCTGCAGGGTTTGAGGGCGAGACGACCGTGCTGCTCACGGTGACGCCGCGAGGAAGCATGAGCGATGGACCAAATGCAGAGAGGGCCCTGGACATGTTGACCCATCTGTCTGTGCGCACGGCTATTTTCCACCCGCTCGATGTGCCCCCAGAGCGCTACCTTGTAGTGCTGGTGTGTATTGAATCCAATCTATATTTTAATAACAAAAGCAAAACACTTACACTCACCACCAAAATGTTGATAGTGCTGTCTGGTTTGTACTCTAGCAGAACTGTTTTTTTTAATGCTACAGTTTTTTTTAACAGGGCTGCCAAGTCATCAAGTTAGAGGGAAAGTGAATGCATGAATATATAATTACTAGCCTATAGCCCGTCCAAGCGTAAATCTGAAACATTCAAGCGAAAAGCAGAGCGCAACGTCATATTCATTGCATCCATTTGTTTGAAATTTGTAAGGTCACGGTGACACAGACTATTTCATTTTAAGGTTATATTCCCTTGTTCATCATGACGTCCTTTTTACTTTGATGTCTCAATAGCGTTATGGAGATCGCGTAACGTGAGGGTTCTGCCTTTGTAGTGAGGGTTGTAAGTTGACGCCGAGGACGGGGGAGGAGGCGCCTCGCCCCCCCCATGTGGAGTGACGTCACCCGCTCATGATTATTAATGAGGGGGGGTCCATTTGGAGGACGTCACCTGCTCATGATTATTAATGGGGGGGGGGGGCATGTGGAGGACGTCACCTTAACACGTAGGCTTTCGCGACCAATATCCATAATAGAGGTTTTTGGGTTAGATCGCGTAAATATATAAATGTGTCGTTAAAACCTGCCACCACCCTACACAGCCAACTAGTAAGGGTTGTCACGTAAACAGAACATGCCAATTCATCACTAGTACAGCACAACGGTGTGTTGGAGAGCCAATCCACAACATTTACAATCTGAGGACCACGTTTCGCCAGTAATTACAACTAGCTTCATCAGGCGACAGCCAGATTTGTAGAGAAGTCTTACTGTTTCGTTCCTTATATAGAGGCGTATATGTGTTGACCACCTTTCTGCGCTCTTGCACAATTTGGGGTGGGGGGGGGGGCATTACTGAGGCAATGTACATTATGCACAGTCAGTTAAGTGATGTTTCCGTCCTACCTACCTATGTCAGCTGTTATTTCCGACTCTCTGTCTCTCTATGCCTCTCTCTTAGATCTCTCATGCTCACATGTCCTTTGCATTGCGCTCGCATGCCTTTGGATTGCACTCTCATGCTCACATGTCCTTTGGATTGCACTCTCATGCTCACATGCCCTTTGGATTGCACCCTTTGGGTTGCACCACTCTTCGATTTCACATGAACATGGTAATCTCTCACATTAACATAGCCACTTCCATGCCCTCGTCGAGGAGGCCGTTCTCTGATCTTACATGCTAATTTCTCACATTAACATCACTAGCCCCGCCCACTTATTTATGACTCTTGGGCTACCCCCATTTTAAACCTTTTAATAGTCTGCCTCAGCAGCAGATCATGCTTTCCCACCTGATGACGGACGCTTGTGTTGCGCCCGAAACGTCGTGATTTATTTTATTTTATACTTACGTGACTTTACCGAAAGAACCAAACAGGAGTATGGATTCTTGCAGTCACGAAAGCTTCAAATCTAGTTAGTAGATAGTTTTGCACAACAATTCAACATCAAAATCAAATGAGTGCCCTTGTTGGCACGCGTGTTCTGCTACTGCTGACAGTTGTATTTGGGATAATTTAATGTTTATCTGATGTTCTTTTAGTCTCGTGCTGATCATTCGTCCTGTTTGCCCAACATAACATTTACCACACGTGCAGTTAATCCTGTACACACCTTCGGTTGATAGCTTCGGTAATACATCTTTTGTACCAGACATTAATTTCTGTATTTTATGTACCTGTGCCAAATCTGACTCGGATGTTTTGTTTTTCCAAACATCTGGCTAGTTTATCAGTTACTCCCGCAATGTACGGTATTTTGATCGTTTTAATTACTTGGGCAGTTTCAATGCTCTTGTTATTTGATTTGGTTTTGATATTCAATGCTCTGTTGATTTGTGCATTGTTGTAAACGTTCATTTGTAGCGCTTCTTTAACATGTTGAATTTCACTTCTCAGACTCACACCATCTGACACTTTCTTTGCTCGATGAATGAGCGTCTTGATAAGAGCAAATTTCTGTGTGGGGTGACAGTGTGACTGCATTCAGATAGGCGTCAGTATGCGTTTTCTTTTGGTAAAGACTGCGTGTTATTAAATCCTTTATATTAAGTTCACTTGCTTGCTTGCGCGCTTACGACCGTGCAAATCTTTCGGTCGTGTTTTAATCAACTTCCCGTGATCCAATCGAGCTGACATTTTGCACACAGACTCGTTGTGCGTGACAATTTATTTTCGTGAAAATTCTTTTTCCAAAATTTTCCACTTTTTAGGAAATTTTTTTTTCATATTTATTTAAAATACCAATGTGATAAAAATGAAACTCTTACTCAAGAAAAACAGAAATGAATAATGAAATAAAACCGATGCCACGCATATAAAAGATTTATAGTGAAAAACTTTGTTTTTACGGGTTAATTTTTTTTTACATTTCCACCCTATCCGAGCAGAATATCCATAAATGGTAGACATCTGTGAGCTTCCACTTCCATGGTGAACTGGATGGATGGGTTTTGCGAATTGAAATTATTTAGAAATGCGTTCAGTGTATCTTTGCCGTGTGGCCAGACCACCAATGTGTCATCGACATATCTAAACCAAGCAGATGGTTTGTGTGCTTGAAGCTATTGCTTTTGTTTCAAAATCTTCCATGTACAAATTCGCTATCACAGGAGACAAAGGAGAGCCCATTGCTGCTCCTTCCTTGTGTTCATAGAAGTCACCTTGGCACAAGAAGTAAGTGTTCTTTAGACAAGGGATTACCGTTGGTAGGGCTTTTTTAATAAACACAATAGACAGGAAGGACAAGTTCAAAGGGCTCACATAATGCACATGCATAATGTACGTTGCCTCATATATTAGGAACGAAACAGTAAGACTTCTCCACAAATCTGGCTGTCGCCTGATTAAGCTAGTTGTAATTACTGGCGAAACGTTGTACTCAGATTGTAAATGTTGTGGCTTGGCTCTCCAACACATCGGTGTGCTGTACTAGTGACGAATTGGCATGTTCTGTTTACGTGACAACCCTTACTAGTTGGCTGTGTCGGGTGGTGGCGGGTTTTAACAACACATTACAAATTTAAGCGATCTAACCCAAAAACCTCTTGTGGAGGAGGTCGTCACCTGTTCATGATTATTAATGAGGGGGCCGGTCGACGTGGAGTGACGTCACCCGCGTTATACACAAACAGACATTATTGGCTCATTATAGTAGTCATTCTTAAACGGATTCAATCTCGTGCCAGCATTTAAAATACGTAGTGCCAGCAGAGGGTGCTGGGTGGAGAGTTCACCCTCTACATGCATGATACATGTGTGCATTTGCTTGAGAGTGGATGTGTGTTTACAGTATATTAGGATAGATACGTGTTATGTGCGGTTTGTTTGTATGTATATGTGTGGGGAGCGGTAATATAGCGGCTAGCCCGTTGTGCTACGAACCCGGCCACCCGAGTTCGATTCCCGCTCATGGACCACCACCAGTGACGATTAACTGAACCGGTCCTGGGCCTCCCCTAGGTCGACTCAGCCCAAATGAGTACATGATATAATGTGTAAACATAGCCACTAGGGAGACAAAGGTGGCCGGGCGTGGTGATGGCCACTCAGCCCCTCGTGTGCCATGCCGGTAACAGCGTATGCCCCAAAAGTATGTTTAGGCTACACGGGATTTTTGGGTTTTTGATAAGTGTGTTATGTGTTTGTATGTGAGAGTGGATATGTCTCCCACAGGGAAACATTTCTATATTCATAAGCAGATATATTTCTGTATCTCAATAGGCTGTAGCAACCAGAATGCATATCGCAATAACCTTGGCCTCAAACAGAAGCTGAATGCCTCTTCTTGGAACTATCACAATGAAATGTATCACGTGTGGAGTTTTTACTTCATTTATTAATTTTAATTGACTTATGCACGTGTCCAAGACCTACAATTGTTTGCCCGTTGAGCAGTAGTTGTCATTCACTTCGATGACATGTGCCTGATATAAATATTAATGAGACATTAAGATATTTAGTTTTTAGTTTATGGGAGAAATGTAAATTGTGGCTAGATCCTGACGTTTTATATTTGGATAGAGTTAAGTTAGACAGTATATCCTGGGAATTTGGCATAATATTTTCTAAAGACTTTGTATCACTTCATAGGAGAACATTTAAGCAATAGGGAAGACAATTTGCAAAGTGTCTTTGGCCTATTCTTGCTGAAATCGGAATGTATAAAGGAAGCAGGGCATTGGGGAAGCTTGAACAAACCATAGAATACATTCTTTAAAATGGCACTGAATACAACATTCATAAAGTCTGACACTTGCTCTGGGTTTACATCTGTCACCCGTCTGGGACACCTGCCCGTAGGATCGCCTGCTGTTGTTGGATGTCGCGGAAGAGTTTGTGGCCGAGGCAGAGCGTCTGTATCCTGTGGAAGAGTGGGGGGATCTCCATAACATGAGCCTGTCGTGCTCTCCTCGGTCGACGGTAGGAGCACGGCCATCTTAGTTCACCACTTTGAAAACTGAAGCCCACTTGTCCGTCAAAGCTCTGGACAAAACCGTACATCATTTTCGCTGTAGCGTGTCTTCATAGAAACTGAATGCATTTCTGCAACATTTGTACAACTTTTTACACATTATGAGCAATGTCCATTCCAAGCAGTTGGTATTTTTGTATTTGTTTTGATCGTATTTAAACATGAACCTGGCACAGAGAACAACCGTGACGTGGGGAAGAGGCACAGAAACTCCAAACTCTATGGCCCTGGGTTTAGAGGGAAGGAGAAATTCGGGGTCACTGCCCCAGCAAGGTGGGGACCGCGAGTGGGAGCATGTAGGGTTTTTTTTTTATTCCACTGGGTAATTTTACAAATGTGGCATCGTTGGTTATCATTAAGCAGCGTTTCTGAATGATACCACAAAGTCTTAAATGACCACCTCCCAACAGAATTTAGTAATACAGTAAATGTATTATTGGTATTCTGTTGCACACTCGAGATGAAGGACGTGGGCAGGTGCTCCAAATCGAGGGCAAGCACATTTATTTATTGTGGTTCATATGAATCTTGGGAAGAACAGCACCGTCACTCTGTAAAATGCAACAGCGCGTGTTACACGCAGCAAATCTTCCGAGACGCCATTAACCATGTGGCTGGTTTACACGTGCGGTTATTCATTAACCCTTTCTCTTAAACCCAATTCTACTGCTGATAAACCATCTTTGTCTTTGACAATCACATTTGCACATCACTATTCGAATATTACTTTAATCCTAAGCTGTATGTCTATCTATACCATCCACTTCTATCGGTATCTTACACCCATTATATGTACTGTATGTGTACAGTATACATACTGTATATCACCATTGTACAGCTTACTACTTTACATGTGTTCTATGCTCAATAGCATTGCAAGTAGTCATACTCTGGGTACATGGGCATGGCTATAGACTAAACAGTATTAGAGTTAGAGAATTACAATGACAATAACTAATTACAGTGCGTCATCCCTTTACAATGCACAGTGCTAAAACGCCTCTAATTGCATATATCACAAACGAACAATTCAAAGCCAAGCTTAAAATCTAAAACAAGTCTAGAACAAATCTAGAACATTTATATAACGATCAAAAACAACCTTTGGGTCCTTTACCTGTAAAATGCAACAGCGCGTGTTACACGCAGCAAATCTTCCGAGACGCCATTAACCATGTGGCTGGTTTACACGTGCGGTTATTCATTAACCCTGCCAGCCACCTACAGGCCCGACTCAGACATTACATGCTGCTGTACACACATGCATTGATGCATTGCACAGCACATCAGGACCTTCACAGAACCACACTTTACTCCCTTGCTGCACAAGGACACACTTAAAAGAGTGATCCATTCCTAATGTGCCACAATTGCCAGGTGATGGCATTCACTTAAGAGTTGTCCCTTTGCAAAGTGGCTAAGTGGGAAGCATGTTGATTGCTACTCAGAATGTGTGTTTTTTCCTAGGGTGCCCTCGTTTCCTCAAGTACTACATAAGCACGCAATTGGCTAAGCACATCTTAATATGCAGATGATGGTAGAGCTTGGGCAATAGTTGGCATCAGCTGTAATTCCTTAGCGTTGTGAGATGCACTTTGCATGAACGACGCTATATAAAATTAAACATTATTTACTTTGATTAGTTAGGCACAACCAGCACAAATATCTAATTAAAATAAAATATGTACTTTACAGTGTGTTCACAAATGGGGCTCATTACTTTTGCTTTCCATGAGGAATATTATTTTATTCTTTCCCTTCGACATGACTCTACCGACAGAACCAAGAATATGAATCCCTGGAGTCACGAAAGCTTTAAATCGAACTTTAACAATAGTTATGAACCTTTTTTAGGGTCAGGAATGAAATGAAGTGGTGGTAGGATGTTAGGCTTGATAATATAGCATCCACAGATCATATGTAGTAATGTGTACACACAAAGGTACAGCATGCATTTACAAACTTTTATTAATGTTTCTGAACCATGTCCTGTTATTCTCACAGATTTATATTTGGGCAGATGGACAATTGCTACCTAGAGAAGCACCCCGCCAAAGCACCTATCTATCAGCTCTAGCCAAAACTTTTGCAAAATTTGGAAATCTGCCAACATTTAAATTGCAACCATAATATTGCGTATATTTTCATGGAACTTTTAATTATTAATATGTGAATACAATTGTTGAATGTTTGACCCTGTTCTAGCTCAAACGCATTGTGTTTGCGATACATTCTTCATACTTATCAGCCATCATCCACTACGATCTCTCCTGCGGTGTATGGGTTTTAAGTTCTGGTTTAATCTGGTCAGGTTTAAACAATGTAAATGGAAATATAGTCGGTTATAGCAGGAGAGAGGAAGACTCACCCTCAGGATAGTAATGTGAAATTTTATGCACTGGATTGTGACCCTCATCGCTACCTTGAGCATGGAAACACTGCGTTTGCTCGATATTGTGATGTTTAGGGAGTTGGTCATTCAATTAATCACTGATGATGATGGTGGTTATATAGTAATTACAGTCATGGAAATGGTGGTGAATAACCTTGTGATGTTGGAGCACCAATTATGCAATGCATGGGATTTTTTGTTTAGTTAATACTTTTGCAAGGCTTGAAGCCCCAAATTCCCCCTACTAGATCTGCCACTTGGAATGAATATTCCTAATCAAATCACGTTTGAATACAGTACTTGTTGACATCACCAGCTATTTTGACTTACAATTTGCCCAATAAAATGTTTCCCTCACTGTACGTGACTTTACCGAAAGACTCAAAGAATATGAATTCCTGCATTCACGATAGCTTTAAGTCAAGATGTAATCTTTTTTTGGTTCTTTCGGTAAAGTCACGTAGGTATAAAATAAAATAAATCACAACGTTTCGGGCGCAACACAAGCGTCCGTCATCACGTGGGAAAGCATGGTCTGCTGCTGAGGCAGACTGTTTTAAAAGGTTTGAAATGGGTGTAGCCCAAGGGTCATATATACCTACGTGACTTTACCGAAAGAACCAAAGAGTATGAATACTCTTAGTTCTTTCGGTAAAGTCACGTAGGTAAAAAATGAAATTAAAATTAATAAAAATTTAAAATAATAAAATCACGACGTTTCGGAGGCAACACAAGTCTCCGTCATCAGGTGGGACCATCACAGCCAGATTTGCTGCATCAAGTGAGGCAGGGATTCAAGATGCAAGCTCTTAAATACAAGTTAAGGGGGAGGAGAGGGGGGGGAGCTTATCAGAATGTGGTAGCCAATGAAAGGAACGTATCGGGAGGGGGGGCGGGGCTAAAAGAGAGCACGAGGTGCTCGTAGGCGTCGAAGTGTTTGTGCGCAAGTCCCTGTTGGTGCACATGATAACGTATTGAAAGGGGGGGGGGGAGCGGGGCTAAAAGAGAGCACAGGGTGCACGTGCACGTGGACATGCCTGTGCACAAGCACCTGTTGGTGCACATGATAGAAAAGAACGAAAATGCCCATGTTTATACCAGTGTTGGCTGACAATAAAGAGAGTACTGTTAAACGCTGGGGATGTTAACATTCGGTAAAGTAAAATAGTGCCTGTCAGATAAGATGGTCCAAAAATAATGTAGTTAAATCTTTTTTGCATGGTTAATAACATCTTTCTAATGATTACTAAGTTTGTACCCATCATCACGGTTGAAATTATGCCTGTGTTTGTATATCTGAATGACTTCGTGTACAAACCTTTGATGGTAGCCAGAGGGTTTGCAGAGCACCTTGGTCTCGGAAAAAACAATATCATGAGAGCCCACCGCGTTGTAGCAATGATCGGCAATGGCGGAAGATTCAATTTTGCCGTGTTTCAAATCTGACTTGTGCTCGCGGACACGATCAGAGACATGACGTTTCGTTTCCCCAATGTAACAGTCACCACAGCTGCAACTCAGTTTATAGACTCCAGGGTATTGCAAGTCAGGGATGACATCCTTCACAGATGGAATTAGATCACGGATTTTATGTACTGTACTGAATCGGACTTGGATCTTATGTTTGTTTAGAATTTTGGAGATCTTTTTGGTCACGCCTTCTATGTATGGCAACGTGATAGTTTTGATCACAGTTTCAAGTGGCGGTTTCTGTATGGTGGGATAAACAGCTCGGCGGATGGTGCGTTCAGAGTATCCGTTCATCCTGAGGGCTCGATGTACATGTCTTAATTCACTGGCCAGGTGGTGTTGATCAGAAATGCCATGAGCTCTGTGGTAAAGCGTTTTGATGAGATAATTCTTTTGAGATGGGTGGTGGTGAGAATCCGGTTTAAAGTAGGAATTTGTGTGGGTGGCTTTCCTGTAGACAGAATGTCCCAAGGATCTGTCAGGTCTCCTCTCAAACAGAATATCTAAGAATGGTAGTTTGCCATCTTTCTCCACTTTCATGGTGAATCTGATGGATGGGTGTCTGGAATTGATGTGGTCCAAGAAGTGGTTCAATGCTGGGAGGCCATGTGGCCAAATGACGAAAGTGTCATCCACATACCTCTTCCACAGGGAAGGACGCAGGGTGGATGTCTGGTTGGCGTCTGATTCAAACTTTTCCATGAACATGTTGGCTATCACTGGTGACAAGGGGGAGCCCATAGGGGTACCCTCATTCTGTTTGTAGAAGGTGCTATTCCAGGTAAAATAAGTGTTGGTGAGGCAATGCCTAACGAGCGCAGGTACATCCGAATTCAATCCATGTTGGACCAAGTCCTCAATTATTGTTAGGGTGTCAGGCACTGAAACTTTGGTGAACAGAGATACTACATCAAAACTGACGAGGATATCATCAGGAGATAGTACCATGTCCTTGACCATAGAGACTAATTGGGTTGAGTTGAGTACTGCCGAAGAGGTCTTGCTTGTGAAGGGAAGCAGAGTGTCTGATAGAAAACGGGCTAGTTTGTACGTAGGAGAGTTGATCGTTGACACGATGGGTCGTAGTGGGGTGCCTTCTTTATGGATCTTGGGAAGACCATAGAGTCTGGGAGGTCTAGCCGCCGAGGGTTTTAGAGAGGGACGTTTGGTTGGTTCGATTAGGGAAGTCGAACTCGTGATGATCTTGTTGGTTTTTGTCGTTAGGCTGTTAGTAGGATTGCTTTTAATTTTGGAGTAACTTCCATCATTAAGTAGGTCCAGGATTTTGTTGTTGTATGATTCTTTATCCATGATGACCATGGCATTGCCCTTGTCTGCCGAGAGGATGACTATATAATCTCTCTTTTTTAAGTTCGCGAGTCAGAGCGTTCATTTTTGCTAATGTTACTAGTGGGTTTCTTAGCATTCTTAAGAATCGTGGCTATTTCAGCTCTTGCTACATCCGCATGGATGTGTCTTATGCCTCTGAGGGCAACATCAACCTGAGAAATGACATCCTCTACTGGTATATATTTAGGGGTGACAGCGAAATTTAGTCCTTTGGCCAGTACCGTTTTCAGATTGTCAGAAATTGGGATGTTACTTGATTAATAACGCTTGACATCCAGCTTTGTGATTTGTGGCTCTTTTTACCTACGTGACTTTAATGAATCCTTGCAGTCACGAAAGCTTCAAATCTAGAACAAAGAGTATGGATTCCTGCAGTCACGAAAGATTCAAATCAAGAATGTAATAGTTTGTTTTGTGCATGGGACAGGTTGAGCATATTAGTTAAATATGAATGTGTATCTCGGCCTCGCTTTGCGCTGCGTTGCAGAGCTAGCTGAGTAGATAACCTCGCGTCTCCAATAAACCCTCAGAGCCAGGGTGAACATCTGACTCCGAACGTCATTTATTGAAATTGAACGAGAGGTAAAACTGGTAAGAAAACAGCACAGATACAGCATCTGTTAATACCCAGAAACACCAACACAATGAATAAACACCACAGCATCATAACATTGTCTTATGAATGATAAATTTTGTTATTGCAAGTTTGAATCCACTTACTCGATTACAGGTAAGTCACAACAAGGCAAGCTGCAGGCTTTATTGTCAACTAGGCCCCGCATTCATCGTAACAATTTAACAGCATTATAAAGGTCCTAACATTATAACAGCATTATAAAGGTTCTTCTAACATTATAGCAACATTGCCAATATTATAAGAACACAAACGAACTTACAGACAATGCTTCCCAAAGTCCCACAACGGACAACTGCAGCTGGCTTCACTGGGCCGCGATGTGTGCCGCCATCTTGAATTATGTCTGTAATGGCCGACGCCCGTGGTTCAGCGGAAATCTAAAATCGCAACTTCCTCGTCACGTGACCACCCCCAGCATCAAAAACAGGAAATTCCTGTGTACACACGCCCCACATCTGCCGTGAGGCAGAACAATGTGAATACTGCTTCATTTTCTTACAGCTGAAAGCACGCCAGTTAACTTTTAGTAGTCGTCTTGTGATGTGTATTTTTAAAATCCGGTCCACACGTGTAAAAAGAACATGCATCATGATTACAGTACACTAATTCAGTACATTTGAAATATTTTACATTGTAAAAAAAATTACTTTGAATGTAAGGTTTTTGTTTACAGTATTAAAACACCAGCAGGCAACTACCAATTAACAGAGAATATTTAAAACACATAAAAAATATACTAATTTCAGTAAACATGCATTGTGCAGCATACAGCACATACCTGCAACCATACCTACTATAATCACCCAGGAATGTCCTTAACACTCGTGACGTCACTCCACATCGACCAGCCCCCCTCAATAATCATAAGCAGGTGACGTCCTCCAAATGGACACCACCCCCCCCCTCCGATTATTACCTATGCCTGTGCACCGCTTGTGATGTCACTCAAGGTCGACCAGCCCTCCTCAGTAATAATCATGAGCAGGTCACGTCCTCCACATGGATCCGCCTGTCATTAATAATCATAGTGGGTGACGTCACTCCTCATGGAGAACCCCCCTCATTAATAATCATGAGCAGGTGACGTCACTCAACATCGAACAGCTCCACCATTAATAATCATGAGCAGGTGACGTCCTCCAAATGGACCCCCCCCTCATTAATAATCATGAGCGGGTGACGTCACTCCTCGGCGTCAACTTACAACCCTCACTACAAAGGCAGAATCCTCACGTCACCGATCTCTGTAATGCTATTGAGACATCAAAGTAAAAAGGACGTCATGATGAACACAGGATTATTACCTTAAAATGAAATAGGTCTGTGTCACCGCGCCCTCACACATTGCACACGCATTGATGCAGTTAATATCACGTCGCACTCTGCTTTTCGCTTGCAAGTTTCAGATTTACTGCAATACACCTGTCCTTGGATAGGCAAAAGGCGAGTTGAATGATGTTTGAGCAAACGGTTATTTTGACAATGAGAACTAAAAGTGTCATTTACATAAAAAGTATATAAAAACACTGCACCAAATAAAAGCATATAGCAGTTGCAACATTCTGATTCTATGACATTTCGTGATTGTGCATAGCCAGATAAGACACAATCATTTGCATTGAAATAGAACACTCAATGGTGAGCATATTCCATCTCATTATTTGATTGGAGTCGGCAGATTAAGTGGCTGGCAAGTAAATTATCACGACAATTGAGCTATCATCTGTGAGATTATATAATTCTAAACTATGGAGGTTGTAAAGTGTTCCATTTAAAATAGTATGCATTATGTTTAATATGGAGTATATGGGTGGGTTATAAAGTTTTTTTCTCCAGAACAACCCTCATTTCTCTAGATGAGCAAGATGGATTTGTGGTGTCCGTGTTTGCACCATTTACACAGGAGTGCACGTCCCGTTGTAAGATAGTGGCTGAATGTTGGGCAGGCAGACGCTGGGCTCAATGGGGCTCTGGTCCGTCCACCAGGACACGACAGGCTTTCCAGAGCTGTGGGGCCCTGGCCGCAGGATCACGATGTCCCTCGAGGCCACTGATGGGTCCTCGTCGAAGAAGTTGAACGGCCGGAAGAAGAAGCCCACAGCATTTCCCGACGTGGCCGTGTTGGGGACGTCCTCCGAGTGGGGGATGTGCACGAAGCCCACCGTCACCCAGGCCACCAGGTCCTGAGGAGCATAGTGAAGGTGACTCGAAGTCAGGTAGTTGGACGTATTGAAAGCGCAAAGTAACATGTGACCATTCAAACAAAAAAACGAATTGGTAAATATGACAATAAAACTTGATTTGAAGCTATCGTGACTGCAGGAATTACTCTTTGGTTCTTTCGGTAAAGTCACGTAGAAAGAAATTAAATTAAATAATAGAATACGACGTTTCGATTGCAACACAAGCAATCGTCATTAGGTAGAAAACAAACCTAGTAAGCTTAGAAATATAATGCAATACAACACAGTCGGCTAACACAACAGGCGACACCCAACCTGGTTGATTACGTTCTTCCAAAGATTGCTACATTTGAGACAGAGAAACAAAACAGACACGATGACTTTACCGAAAGAACCAAAGAGTAATTCCTGCAGTCATGAAATCTTCAAATCAATTTTGAACCACCTCTACAGGGGGGATTTAAGTTTGTTTTATCTCTCTCTGTGCGTCTCTGTTTCTCTCTCTCTGCATGTGTGTCTGTCTATGTGTCTCCGTGTCTGTGTTTTGTCTCTCTCAAATTTCACACTTAACTTCGAATTTAGCAATCTTTGGAAGAACGTAATCAACCAGGCTATGCATTAACTGTGTGTTAACCGACTCTCTGTGTTGCACTGCGTTACATTGCCAAAATTTTAATAAGTTTATTTTTTCAAACTTCCTATTTCTCTCTAAAATTTGCCAGGCTTGTATAGGTCCATTTGCTCTTTCTGTCCTCCGGCCGCTACAGGGTGGATTTCCACACAACTCTCTCATTGACATGCTATTTTTTTCTACCCCAACCCCCCCGCTCTCTCTGCCTCCCCCCCTCTCTAAGGCCTCAACACAGAGGCGTTGTTTCTCTGTGTGTCTATGTGTGTGTCTCGCTCTGTGTCTGTGTTGTCTTTGCTTGTGTGTCTGTTTATGTGTCTCCGTGTCTGTGTTTTGTCTCTCTCAAATTTAGCAATATTTGGAAGAACATAATCAACCAAGTAGGGTATTGACTGTTGTGTTAGATGACAATCAATTTCACCAAACATTTTTTACCGCCGAGGAGCGATGTAGAAGCATTGAAGTACAGCACAACAATGCATATTGTTGTACTGACTTCTACTGCCCACATTGTAACCCCACCAGCCTAGCACTTGCTAGTCATCCATCTCCAAATACAATTCAGCCCAAAACCTCCCTTAGCTTAAAAGACCTTTGACTTGGTCAAAGGACCATCACGATTCAGGTCACAACCATTTCATATATTAGCTGCGATTGGGAAGTCACCTCATTCACGATATTTTCGTCATCGTTTACGAAGTCCGGGAAGTAAACTGCTGGGTCCCAGGGGTCATTCTGGTTGTAAATGCTGGTGCTGTACCGCTCCGTCTCCTTGTATTTTGTCACTGCCATCTGGTATCTATTTGAGGAAGAAAATATATCTGAGAAGCATAAAATGTACTACGAGACAAAAGAAAATATGTTACAACTTCCTGTACTGGCAAAATTAAACGTGACCTGTAAACAATGTACCCCCCCCCCCATCAACAGCACACGGTTCCACCAAGTAACCCACTGGCAAAAAGTGTGGCACGCATTGAAGGACATCGGGGGTTCAAATATCGATTGGTGGGGGGGGGGCAACTCTGCCAATTATTCCTTCAGGAATCAATACAATGAGTGCCAATTTGTGGGAAATTAACTGTGGTCTTCCTTTGGAAAGACTGGTTCCAGTTCCAATAATGGACATCTTTGTAGGTAAGATGAGGCATTGGTATGGTGATATAGTGGTTAACACCCATGGTTAATTCAGTGGTGACAGCAGAACACGAGGTCCTGGGTCATCATGTGTCACCAACCCGCACCGAGTAGTGTGGGTGGCGAAATGTGAACTAACCCCCATATGACCACCGAGTGTGGGGAGACCTTCATCCAGCAGTGGACGGACAAAGCGCTGTAGATGGTTATATATGTGTTTTAACAAAGGTATTCTATTCCTCTGGCATAAGTAATACTCTATGACTTATTACTAATAATACTCGACTCACCTGCTCCATGCAGCAGCTTTCTCTTCTTCGCAATCATCAGGCAGAAGTGGCTTGGCATGGCTTGTGAGCTGTATCCGATATCCTCGTGGATGACCCCACTTGTTTTTAGATTTAGAGTTCACAAACACAAGATAAGGCAGCTGGGAGTCGTATTTAAATGCTGCCTCAGTTTCAGTCCTCTTGAGGCTATGGTGAAGCGTGGGCTGTATCTTGGTGCGTCCTGTTTCCCATGGAATGGGAATGTTCTCCAGTTGTAGAGACGCCGTCTGAAAGTTATTTTCAGTCCCTGTCGACATAATACAAGTGAAGGTTTAATATTGTACAAGTATATCACAAAGCGTGAAGTAGTTTAGATGGCTACATATACATGTTTAACTTCTTTCACATTGTGCGTAGCCAACCGTGCTAATTGGAGGTGCAAGGAGAAGGACGACGAACTAAACACAAAACGCGGTTCTGGTTTGTTGTCCTTCCCCTGCACCTCCGATTATGGAGGTTATTGCAGTAGCACGGTGGTCAACTTATTTTTTGCCTCGCAGCAAGGACCCTGGGCTGGGGTTGATGCGGGATTTGGCACCTTTATCGGTGGCGTTTGTTATGTTCTTTGCCGGTTCTCCATCTGTTCCCCCCTGGGTTATCCAGTGTACTCCCATAGCGAAAATCATACAATGGAAATGGTGATGGCCAAACATCCCAATTGCAGTAACCTCCTAACAGAATGTCAGTGTGTATTTTGCAGGTAAATAAGTAACTATTCTTTGGGTCTTTCGGTAAAGCCACTTAGATAGAGAAATTATAAAAGTGATAAAAATAAGAATAATATCACGACGTTTCGATCGCAACACAAGCAATTGTCATCAGGTGAGAGCTGCTGAGGCAGGAAAAAATATATGGCGGGAGCACTGTTAAGACAGGGAGTTACTGTATAAAGGTTTGAGATGGATGTAGCCCAAGGGTCAGTGGGCGGGGCTAGAGATGAAATTTGCATGTAAATGTAAGATAGGAGAAATCTTGATTAACGAAGCTGTGGGGGTGGCCATTGTATTGTGAGAGATTAGCATGTCAATGTAAGAAATTTGCTTGTAAATGTAAGCTCCATGTGGCGATGTTCATTTTTCTATCTATGTGGCTTAACCGAAAGACCCCACATGGAGGTGGCAATGTTCCTCCTCTGGTGGGATAGAGGACGATTGCTTGAGTGGCGATCGAAACATCGCGATCTATTACTTTTTCTACCTACGTGACTTTATCGAAAGAACCAAAAAGTATAGATATTGCCTACTCTGCTATTTCCAGTTGTGTTCCCCCTGGAATAATTTTCTTGCGTTCATACTTTGTACATGACATGTTTTAAATTACTCAAGTAGAAATATGTATTTGTATTTAGATTGAATTGCTTGAATTGCAATTAGAAAACACGGAATGTTTAAAATGTATTCTAATGAAACCTACTGCAATAAAAAAGAAGCACTTTTAAAGAGTTTCCCAAACATGATAATAAAGTCCCTTGTATTCATATTTCGCTTTACAGTATATTATCGCAATAGAAGATGTGTAAAAATATGTACAAATGTATTCCATTGCAGGATATTTAAAGTACCATGAACAAATACAACTCTGTGATAAGTCCATTAAAGTATTCAGTAGCTTCTTCACAAAACCTTTTAAGCACCACCTCCATAATATTTACACAGGAAGTCTCACTAAGTCTCGAGAGAATGTTTCGTTAATCATGTAATGCATACTTGGTATTTGCAACGAATTTGGATTACCCAGAGAAAAGGCACCAATGGAAGATGATAACACGCAAAGATCTGCATAGATGGATTCAATCATCCATTGCTCTACTACCAACTCCCCTTGAGGGCACAACCAATACTGCACTGGAAATAGCAGAAGGTTGCCACTTACCAGTTTAAGCACTATTTAGCTATCAAGAGGTTTAAAACGATAGTGTAGTACAACACATTATTTATTTTTCTCAATTCCATAAAAGTTGCAGCCATTTAAGTGCATGCACAGTGAACACACTCCTTGCATTGGTGAATGTATTCCTAATTTTTAGGCAGTGATGATACATTTAGTGAATCACACTATTTCTACAAAACTATATCTGGGAAGCTATTTGGAAAAAATTAACTATAATTTAACATTACACGTCTTCTTTTTAGGGAAGACAGATTCCACCTAAAATTAGTTCTTGTTGATACGTACCTGGGCTGTGTGTTTTGGGTTTTCCGACATAATCAAAAACAAAACTTTTAAAGTGACTTCCTGAAGTGCCTCAGCAGTGACTGCTCGGTGTGAGATTTAAATAGAACCCCACTGCAGGAGGTCACTGAAAGAGCACCAAGTCACTGAAGGAAATATCAAACACAATGGAAAACCCAGGGCACACAACCTCGGTGCATATGTGCAAAGTTAAAGCTGTTATGTTTTTTTCTGGAGGTGGGGGGGGGGTATGAAGCCATCTCTAAACTGTGTTGGTCATAAAGATAATTTGTCAACACTTCACCACAGAGATCAGTGCAAGTTAGCAAACGGGAGGCCCAGGGCCAAATTAGAACACTTATGTTCGCTCTAACCCGGGAATCGAACGCAGGTTTGCCGGGTTCACAGTGCAGTTCACTAACCGCTGTGCCACCACTCGGCCCTTGAAAGCATAAACCAACACGTTACACCGCATAATATGAAAGTTTACAAGAAAGTATTTGTCATGAAAACCCACCTCCCAAGTCGACGTCCACCTTGTAGTTGAACATGTGCGTGTGCAGATTTCCCAGGACGTGATCGGATATTCTGGTGCCGTACTTGGTGCCGTCTCCAAATAGATAACTCGTCTGGAGGTACCCGGTGGCTTGGGTTTTTGTTTCAATGACTCCATTCTGGTAAAATATGTAGTCTATTAAGTAATCGTAATTGTACACAATATTGATAGTCCTAATCACGAGGACATAGTTGACCAGGCCACCGTAGAATGTGTAACCATTGTTTGAGTTGTTGTCGGTGTGGCGACGCAGGGGCATTCCGGTGTTGTGCTCAAAAATGCAGATGGAGTTTGGGTATTTCCTCGGCTTGTCCGCGTCCACAAAATGGTACGTATCCAAAAACGTCGCACTCTCCGGGCAGTCTATGCCCCTCACCAACTCAAAATTGTCAGCACCAAAGGACCAGCCTGTGTCGATGGCTTTCACCTGCATCCCGATGGGTGTATTTCCAGCATAAAAGGAGACTGCTTCTTGGAGGCTCATCTCATACACGAGTCGCTCATCGTTGTACTTGATGTCAAAGAGCTGTAGACCCGTGAAGGAGATTCTGAAAGCGAACGTCCAGGGCATGTACTGCACAAAGTTCCCGTCAACCTGGTAGCGGTGGCCCTCGGGCTCGTACTGCCGCGGTCCCGCCTGAGGCGTGTCTGCTCTGAAGGCTCCGCGACGATCGTACGCAGCAGCCTTTTCATTGCTGTCCAATTGCTTCACCTTGTTGACGGTTCCTTCATCGTATTTCCGAACAAATTCTTCAATACTGTCAAAAAACTGGCCATAGTAATTTACTTTCATCACGCTCCAATCATCCGGATTTGTGCTGTTGTGATCGATCAGGATTTCAAGGCTCACTGGCTGCAAGTAGAAACCCTCCACTTTTCTCAACAACTGAATCCAGGAATGCCTTTGATTAGATTCCAAACCTCTGATGGGAACGTCTGCTGCAATTAGACACTTGTCTCCACAATTATGAAACCAATAGCCATAACTCTCTTTCAAAACGTGTTCTATTTTGTCCATGATACTGGGGATCAGTTTTATATACAAGGGTTTGTATTCTGGCACTGATGTTGGTCGTGAGCAGAAATTAATTGTGCGTTTCCTTGTTGAGGGATGGTATTGATTGTACCATCTTGGGTTCGGAATTGGACCAACCAAGTATTCTGCAACAGAAACTGAACTGTCAGCACCACGAAAAACCACTGCCTTGGCAACTCGTTCAGGCTTTGGTCCCCCATGGTCCAAGTAATTGAGGGCTTCTCTTTTTGTTGGGTTGTGGAGCTCAATCATGTAGATGTAATTGTTTTGTATTGTTGCTTTTGTGACTGGGACAATATTGAGCGGCTTTTGATTTAGCAGGAATTTGTGTACAGCTGTTAACTCTGCAGGGGATAGGTCAGAAAAAATTTCTATGGCTTTGTGGTTGGGCATCCATTTATTATGAGTGGAATTAGTGGGGCATGTTTTTGGAGGCTGTGAACTTTGGCTCATCCATACGAATACTGCCATGAGTATCACGCTTGATAAAAAAAAAAACAACAAGCAAAAAAGCACCCTTAGTCTTGTGACGAATTTTGGTTGCTTCGCCATTTCGGCCGATTTTGTGAATCCAACCCTGGCTTGTTGAAATCTGAAACGGTAAGTTTTAATTCATACTTTTGTTATTTAAAGAAAGTTCGAAGAATGCTAATTTTAAATACAAACATTTCACACACTTTAGTACTTTAATTTATTAACGATTAATCAACATGGATTTGTTACAGCATGTAAAACTAGATTTGTGATACAGTATTGTAAAATATGTATTCTTAAAAAAAACTCCACGATGCGAATTAAATGTTTAAATAAACTCCTTTTAAAAAGGTTTTTTTCAAACAACGGTTTTATTAACTCATGGTCGAGAAGTACGTCAATGGCGCCTGAGACACGCGGCGCCTGCTTTTTGTGCGACCCAATTCCACATTTTAGGGACCGCGGCGTTTTTGACCAACACAAATATATATAAATAATTAGGCATCATTACAAAATTTGTATTGCTTTAAAGTAGAGAATTCATAGATTAATTGTTGCCGATTTTGATAAAGGCATGTATTGTTACCGGATTTGAGTATGTGTGCAAAATATGAAATTGATTAGACAACGGGAAGTGGACAAAATTTTGATTACAAGATTTGACCACGACAAACAGAGGAATCAAGTTAAGTAAAACCATTGAATAAAATCCCAGCTTGTGGGACTTATCGGGGGCAGGTCTATTCTGAAAAAAAATCGGCTAGCCACAATTTTAATTACAATCCGAGTAAAAACAATAAACATGTTAATTAAAGACAGTTCCACGCATACAATATATATATAAAAGTCATAAATTGTGGGTTTTTGTGGCTCTCCAACGGTGGGGTTCACGTAAAAAAGCCAGTTACCACGCTGTAAGCCCCGCGGTCAGCAAGCGCTATTTCTTTTTCACATCCGTCAACTTTAAATTAGTTTAATTTACGATTTAGTGCGATTTTAGTGCGCTTGACCATTATTTATTTATTTATGACGCGTGCACGACCATACCAACGCACGCGCCTTTCCTGGGGGGGAACATTTTCTTTCGTGTTCAAAATGCGAAAAAATATTCATTGTGTGATGTCTGCCCCACCCCGATGCATGCAGTTATTACTACTGTAGGACTCGTACAAGGGTTGTCTTTCTCTCCTCTTTATTTTCCTCTTAAGAGTCCACCTTCGCCACGCCACCGCTCCGCATCTCGGCGCGGCCTCGCTCCACTCCGCGTCTCTCTGCTGCGCCACCGCTCCGCATCTCTCCATGCCCTCTACCTCACTATCGCTACGCTTGTCGTCTCTACGGTTTCTCCTACTCTGCATCCTTCCGATGCATGGCTACCCTGGTTGCTCACTGCGTTCTCGCTACCACGGTCTCTCCGTGCTTTACGCTACTAACACTGTCTCTACGCTTTACTCTACTATCACTTGCTCTGTGACTCTCCGGGCACCGTTACTGCAGCTCCATCCACGACGCCGACTCGTACAGGACTCCCTTCTCTCCGTTGCGCTCTGGCTTATATCCCCACACCAATTAATCTCCCTAATTATCTCTACCCCTCACTTATCGCTCGCCCCCTGGCCCCCCGTGTCACGTGGGCTTGTTTTCGCCGCCGGAGCGATGCCAGCTAATGCCCAATTACCTTTCCAACCAATTACTGGCCTGTGTCCTCCTGGCTACCCTGACACCTGTTTCAACCCTTAACGACCCACTTCGCCTAAAGTCACAAGAACAACCATTACCTCACATCACCCCACTGTACTGTGCTTGCTTGCATAGCAACAGAGGCAGGGGATGCGTGGCGTGCTATACTCAAGCCCTACACTACTATACAGTTGCTAGATGTAGCAGGTACCACCACAGTCGGTATGCACTGCTGTAATCATAGCAGGTACCACCGCAGTCAGTATTCACTGCTGTAATCATAGCAGGTACCACCACAGTCAGTATTCACTGCTGTAATCATAGCAGGTATCACTGCACGGGACTAGGCCTCACCACGCCACTCTGTCAGGTGAGTACTTTGTGCTATAGAGTCGATAAATACTGTTATAGAGTCAGCATGCACTGCTGTAATCATAGCAGGTACCACCACAGTCAGTATGCACTGCTGTAATCATAGCAGGTACCACCACAGTATGCACTGCTGCAGTGAAAGTAGGTACCACCACAGTATGCACTGCTGTAATCATAGCAGGTACCACCACAGTCAGTACGCACTGCTGTTACATTTTTAAGAGTAGTTTTTGGAATATTTTAAAGACCCGGGCAACGCCGGGTACTTCCTGCTAGTGTGCAATAAAATACATCGGTGTGTGTAGTTCACATGCGTCTAAGTGTACAGTGAAAACGTTACAGGTGAAAACTAGGAAAGCAGGCACAACGAATAATCATCGAGAGTTAGGGATAATCATCTCTTTCATTCAGATCTGTATATAACTGCAGGACTTCTAACTCTTAGCACAGGACAGTCGACCGCCGCACCTACAACCTAATTGGTCCCTGGACGATGGTCGTAAGTGGAGCCGTAGTAAGTCGAACCCTTATTCCCATCGGCACAATGTTATACATTGGGGTTCCGTTCCTAGAAACCCATTACGTACCATAAAAATACCAAAATGGACACGAAAACAATTTAAAATAACTCAAACAAACATTTATTGTAAGTTAAAATAACATTTAACAATATTTATTAAGTAAAAACAAAGACTTAGTGGTCGTCCATAAATGACGTCACGCACCTAGGGGGGGAGAGGGGTGCGACATTTATGACGACGTGTGACGAGGGGGGGGGGTTTGAGAAATCTGACGTCACGTAAAAATGCGCAACTTTAAATAAATATGAACAACACGTTCTACTTAATTAAATATAATTGTTATAACAACACAAATTTTGATTAATTTTCATTATTCACTATTTGATTATTAAAATTTACTAACGTCAGCTTTTATTTATTCTATGAAGGAGCATTTTGCTTCTCCATGGGAGAATGGAGAAGCATACATTTTGTACATTTTTTGAATGATTGTTATTAAACATTTTGATTTTAATGATTCTACAAGGGCTTTTCATTCTGTGGAATATGTGATTATAATAATGGTACTCTCCATTTTGCTTCGTTCTGCTACAAAGTTCCAAATATTTATATATATAAAATTACGTTTAATGTTTTATAATTATAAGATAATTTAAATATAATATTCTGAACATCTGCAGTTTTAGTTAGACGTTGAATATTTTCAAGTGAATTTTATGCTAAATTGCATCTTTCCATCGCCTCCTTTTTAATACATGTTTTCTCCTACAACATCCCAGTGCAGCACCACATTAAATATGCACTACAATGACAATAGTTTAAAGTGATTTGAAGAATGTTTTCTTTTCAAAATGTAAATATGGTTTGGGGGGTGGCAGAGCTTTGTGACGTCATATTTTAGGGGGGTTTGACTTTTTGTGACGCCGTGTGACGAGGGGTGGAGGGGGGTTAAAAATAGGCCAAAATCGAGTAACGTAATTTATGGACGGCCCCTTTGATTTGAAAACCCTTAAGTACACTTTCTGCACATGCATCACATTTCCTCTTCTCGGACAAAGTGAAAGGCGAAAAAGTTTCAAAAGTAGAAGGACATTTACAAAGAAGTGAAGAGCGTTGCAAAAGAGACGCTGATGCATTCGCTTACAGCGCAGCTGCTGACTATCGGGCTATAACTCTACATACGCGTGCAGTAGAATAGCAAAGCAGCGTCATCAATCGACTCGGCGTTAGTAGCAGTCTAGGTGGTAGTAGATACGAGCTGTGGTCGTTACTGTGGGGGTCTTAATTACTCTAAGAAAGGACGCAAAAGCCGTCGTAAGTCGGGGGTCACCTGTACGTATAACTGTCAATACGGTCCCGTTTCATTGTGCCATTGTTTTATATATTTTTAACTGGTGCCATTTTAACCTAACACCGTTAGCGTTGAGGCCAAAAGCAAAGTCAACTCACGGTTCTGTGTGCTGTGAAATAATGTCGAGGGTACACCGGCTCCCCAAACTTTTCCCCAAACTCTTCCCCACCCTTCCCCCATTGCCCTCGAACTTTAACCCCCCTCCCTCTTCCACTAACGTATGAAGTACATTTTAAATTAACTCTTTTTGAATGTTCCAATGGATTGTATGATTGCGTAACACATTTTGAATTGTAGAGTATGTATAGAATTTGTAAAATATTCTATTTCACACTTTTTTTTAATTTTAGATCGGGTTTTTTCTTAGCAAAACCTGATAAGCGAGGTGTGAAATCCGGTTAGCCAGGGTTTTACTTGGACGGCACTGTTACGTGCAATATACATGTGTAGAGCAGAGAACAATCTTTAGGAAAAATGTTCGTGTATAATTTCAGTCTTTAAATGCTACATTTACCAGTAAACTTACAAAGTATGTTTTCGAGCGAATATGTGGGATTTTATCTCTCAACACTTATGGATTTTGCACTTACAAGCTGATGATGCACAAAGAGCTCTAAGGCATCCAGCATAAACGGTGATCCATAAAAAACGAATTATGATCATTTTTCATAAATTTGGCAATCCACTTATGGATGAATAATTTTGGCTCGATTAATCAAATGTGGTTGTATTCTTTTAATGGGTACTTAGACAGTGAATAGTGCACTGTCCTCTGAATCATGCGACTTGTTGAAACAATTTTTCTAACTAGAAACTATTTTTCTTTTACCAGCTCTTTTGGAGAAGCGACCTACAGTGGGAGAAGCAGTGGAGGTGGCCAAAAATATGAGACAAGAAGGCTCATATGATCGAGTCGCTCACTTTTATGAAGAGATGCCGCGACACCAAGGAAATACCGATCGCATTTACACTGTCATCTGCTGCTGTCACTTCTCCTAATGCTCATCTTACATTAACAGGCTTAATGTCTCACTAACACAGCCATCGTTGCTCGTTTTCCTCGATGTGGCGGTGGTTTTCATTTTTCTTACATTGACATGCTAATCTCTCACAATACAATGGCCACCTCTACAGCTTCGTCGTCGTGGAGGTAGCTCAGCTCTCCGATCTTACATTTACATGCACATTTAATCT